GACAGTACTGTGGGACTTGCAACTCGTAACGACCTGCTTGGCACAGGGAAAGGTTTTCTTTCCAGCTCCAAATAGGCAAGGCTTCGTCAGGTTGCTTCTGCATGGCACCCATCAGCAGATACGGGGAGGTAGTGATGGACAGGTTACTTGGGACCACTTGTGGTCCCCAAAGGAGGAAACTGAGTTCCTGTCCTGTGTTTTGCAGACAACCAATTCGCTCCTCATAGAAGCATAGAATGGTTTGGGTTGGAAAGGACCTTAAGATCATCCAGTTCCTGTCCCCTGTCATGGGCAGGGCGGCCTTACACTAGACCATGTCACCTAAGGCTTCACCTGTGCTACTGGGAAGCTCCCAAAGAACTGCTTTCTCTCTTGAGAATGCCATACTGCTTTTCTGTTGGTAGCATTACCACTTTTTAAACCAAGCTTGTTTTCCCCCCTCTTTCTCCTCCAAGGAAATTTCCCTTGCAAGGCTCAGATCCTGCAGCATTCAACCACCTTCTGTCAGGGGTTTTAATTAGTCAGAAGAAAGAAAATAAACAGTGCTTTGGTTGCCAAAGGGAAGAAGTGCGTTTTTGGGGGAGGGAGAGAAGATGGGGAGGACAGAGAAACCTTAATAATGAAGAAGGAAAGCAGAATCCTAAGCTACGTGGGCCTAAGCCTTTAAGACTTCTTATTTCTAAAGTACTGTGCTCCTGTTCTTCTTTGCAGCCAGTGGTTTTTATGATTATCCACCCTCATGACGACAACAGAAATCCAATCATGGCTGGACCAACCATGCCATCTCTATAGGGAGAAGGGATGCGCTTCATAATCTCTCTTCAGCAAAAGTCCTTCCAGTGGGCAAGGGTTTTGTGAAAGCTGGGCTGAAGGATAAAGAAGAATGCTAAGATCAGGGTCTTTTCTGTGCAGAGGGCTGCAGATAGACACCAGGTATTACCCACAAGACTGGCTTCCACTTGGCCGGTGTAATGCCTTGCCAGTGAGCAAACATCTGACCTAGGCATGGAGCAGTACATGCAACCTATTACACAGCTGATTTGGTATCTAGGTTATGTGTGATGTGGGAAAGGGGATAGGGAAAGGAGTAAAAGAACCTGAGTTTTTTTGAGGTGGGGAGCTGTCAGAGAGGATGTGGAAGGGAGGGATGTTCATGTTATTGTGTTGGAGATACAGGGATGTAGTCAGCTCATCTCTTCAAATCCAAACTCCACTTCTTCAGTGTCTCTTGGATGGTTTAAGAATGAGTTATATGTCAGGCGTTTTTTACTTTAATGGAGCTCCTCCCCCACTTTTATCCAGTTACCCATGAAAAGTCAGTGAAATGAGACCTACTTAAATCAAACGTCACAATCGATGCTCATCCCAGGACACCATTTGTGCGACGTGGACTCATTTTGCCTTAAGGAGGGTGCAGGGAGATAAAAAGGGTTGTGAGTGAGCATGGAATGAGTGAGGAAGGAGCAATCCACTTCTGATTATTTTGTGCTTCACAGTACATCTATTAGGACCGTGCATCTCTGGGGTGGGATAGGGCTGTTGCTCACTTGGGTTCTGCAAGAGGGGAAACCAAGGTGTCAAAGAGAGAAGATGTGGAGTTTGCATCTCTCCCTCCTACCCTACCCCAGTGCCTGACTAAATAAGGGACTTCTGTTCCCAAAAGAAAGTCCCTTCCACATTTCAATTTATGCGGATCAGAATATGGTGTTTCAGCACTAGCAGTGCCTGGAATATGTCCAATTTCAATTTTTATTTGATAGAAAACAAACGAAAATGTTGACGTTTTCATTGAAATTTCTTTATGTTTACCTAGTTCTCTGAAAACCTGCTTCTAACCTTCCACAAATATTTGGCAGGAGTAAATTCTCAGGGTGGGAATACAGTCGTATGAGTTGACATTAAAAATCGCTGTGATAGTAGAATCATGGAATGGTTTTGGTTGGAAAGGACCTTAAAGACCATCTATTTCCAATGCCCCTGCCATGGGCAGGGACACCTTCCACTACCGCAGCTTGCTCCAAGCCCCTGTGTCCAACCTGGCCTTGAACACTGCCAGGGATGGGGCAGCCACAGCTTCTCTGGGCACCCTGTGCCAGCGCCTCAGCACCCTCACAGGGAAGAGCTTCTGCCTAAGAGCTCATCTCAGTCTCCCCTCTGGCAGGTTAAAGCCATTCCCCTTGGCCTGTCCCTCCATCCCTTGCCCAAAGCCCCTCTCCAAGTTTCCTGCAGCCCCTTTAGTCACTGGAGCTGCTCTAAGGTCTCCCCTTCAGGAGCCTTCTCTTCTCCAGGCTGACCCAGCCCAGCTCTCTCAGCCTGGCTCCAGAGCAGAGCTGCTCCGGCCCTCTGAACATGTTCATGTCCTTCCTCTGGACTTGCTCCAATAGGTCCACAGTTAAGGATCCAAATCTCCATAGAAGTTCAAAGGAAGAATCCGCATGGGAACTGAAACATTTTCTGTGAGCATTTTGGGAAGTCTAGTTTGGGGTAACTTTGCTGGATGGATTGGTGAGGCTCAGCACCATATTATTCTCGGAGCTTTTGCACAATTACTGGTAATTAAAAGGACTTAAGATATTGCTTTCCAGTTCCATAGCTTCATATATATCAAGTTCCATAATTTCAGCAAGTTGAATTAGGATCAGCATCCAAACCCTTTGCGTGTATCTATGGTGTGTTCTGGAGAGTCCTTAGCCTCCTGTTTCACAAAGCAAACTCAAGGAAGATGCACTGGCGTACATGTAGTGAAGTGTCAGAGCTGATGTGGTCAGAAGAGAGGGGACATTGCAGAAAGGTAGCACCACAGTCTAAGTGCAGTTTGAGGTCCAGTCTGTAGCTAGTTTGCATTCAATAAAGATCCCTCAATCAACCTTTACTCCTTTGGGTACCTATGCCAGTTGGGCATTTAATCCAATGAATGTGTTGCTAAATTTTGCCTGTGATCATAGAATCATCACCCCTTGTCCTGCTGCAACAGGCCCTGCTAAAAAGTCTTCCCCATCTTTCCTACAGGCCCCTTTTGAGAACTGAAAGGCCCTTTTAGAGCTAAAAATGCCTAAAGCTCTTGTGCCAGCCTTCCCAATAGCTCCTATGGGGTTCACTGCAGCAGAGTGGTGAAAGTTTTGCTCCTTAATTCCCCCCCGTCAATGAGATTCAAAACGTGAGAGGTGCTGTTGGTCAAAATAAGCAAGTAAATGGGATCTTCCCCAGCCCTTTGGACTTCAGGGACTATTCACCTCAGATCCCTTTATATCGGGGTTGTTTCTGTTCTTCATGGTGGGATCTGTGGACTAAACCTCTACTGGCTGTGTGCACTGGGCACATACTTGCTTTGCCCATGTGTTGAGCTGGCCAGACTCCATATAAACATGGCACTTGTGCCTTGCCTAGTATATTTTGCTTTGCAGAAGGCTCAGTAGCCTGGAACAGAGCTGCAGTCGCCTCAGCTTCATGGCATCTCACTGACTGGAGGTTCAGGTTGAGCAGCCTCATACCTGCCAACAAAACAGTGTAGACAAGTCCTTAGAGAACTGCCTGTTCCATTCCCAAATCCGTGTGTAATTGCTTTTTGCTTTCTCTTTCCCTATGCTAAGCCCTTGCTATGTCAGGAACCATCTCATCTTCATGGCTGTAGTGATAGGTGTTGGTACCGTGCCAGTCTAATGACAACCCTGACTGTGCTCCCACACCTCTGCATACTGCCTAATGAGTCTAAACAGAGGGTTCTCATGTGTCTGTTGCACTGTGGGTCTCTGCTTCTCTGCCTTCATGCCAGCAGACATCAGTGATGTGGAAATGAGAAACATGCCAGGAAAAAAGCCTGCAGCAGAGCAAACCAACTGGGATCCAGATCCTCATTTCTAAGCTGAGAACTGGGGGAGTTTAGTGATATTAGTCTGGCAGACATTAGCTTGTTACGCAGTCCCAGTACTGCAGAGAACTAGCTCAGGTGAGGTTACAGCATGTGTGTTTGTTCTTGATGTTGCAAGAGCTGATGATCAGCAGATCCATGTGTTTAGATGAGAAGTCAGCCTTCCAATATCTGAAGGGCGCCTACAAGGATGCTTGAAAGGGACTCTTCATGGGGGACTTTAGTATTAGGACAAGGGGTGATGGGTTTAAACTTAAACAGAAGAAATTCAGGTTGGATATAAGGAAGAAGTTCTTTACTGTGAGGGTGGTGAGGTGCTGACACAGGTTGCCCAGAGAAGTGATAGATGTTCCATCCCTGGCAGTGTTCAAGGCCAGGTTGGACAGAGCCTTGGGCAACATGGTCAAGTGTGAGGTGTCCCTGCCCATGGCAGGGGGTTGGAACTGAATGATCTTATGGTCCTTTCCAACCCAAACCATTCTGTGATTCTATGATTCAGTGAATTGAGAACCAGATTTTCCAGTAAGGAGCCCTGCATATGAAGAAAAGCCTTGTGTAGTAGTGTAAGAGTAGTGAAGTGATGGATGGTATAAACTGATGCTGCGTCCCTGGGGAGCATATACATCTTGGTTTTCCTTTGCTTGCTTCATCTTCTCCTTTTCCAGGGGGATATTTGTAGTTGGTGAAAGATTTTTACCATGTTTTAATCCTCCAACCTTCATCACCGCTATTCTCAGATGAGCTCATTTGTAGTGGGTCTAGTGTGGGCACTGCTTTTTGCTGTTGCCTCATTAGTTATCTTCATGCTTTCACACTGGACTTCAAGGGCTTCATCCTTCTTTTGCAACCCACATCTTTTACTCACCTTCCTCAATATGGGTATGAGAGTTGTCACCCAGACTTAACACTGGTGTGTGTGGGACCAGAATAAGGTCCTCAAAAAGGGTGGGTCAACCAGAAATAGATCCTGGTATTTGTACATACTGTGCATGTGAAAATCAGGTGAGTTGAAACACGGAAAATTAAGAGGAAAGTTCTTGCCATGAAATTGAGCTGGTCCTGAGCATCTTCTTGGTTTTGTGGGTTCTTTTTCTTTCGTTTTTTTATAAATGTCTTATTTTTTCTCTTTCAGAACATGGAAAAGGTGCTGGTCCCTTCTGTCACATTAATTGTAGGCTGTGGAGTATCTTCGCTGACACTTTTGCTGTTGATTATCATTTATGTCTCTGTTTGGAGGTATGGCTTTCATTCTCTTCTCTTCTTGTTGGGGAAAGTAACTTGTCGTTTGACCTACATGGAGCCTGAAGGTTTTCCTCTCTGGTTTTGGGTGTCTGGTGCCTGAGGAAGAACCGTTTGGTAATGAGTGGGTCCTGCACTAAGTCATTATGGTGGCTTAGTTGGCATTATTCTTCCCTTCTAATGCCAAAGAAATTAGTACAGTGCAATTAGAGCCATGACCCCATGTAGTTGCATTGTTCCATTTTCAAAAGCCGCATGCTGGTTTAGATGCCTTTGTATACCCCAGGAAACCTTGTTCTTGGAGAAATGGACACACACTGCCTCCTGGTATTGCTCCAAGGTATTCCCAGTTGGGTCTTTGATAACATTAAAACATCTGTGACCCGTTATGAAAACATCTGGCCTGAAGAAATGACAGCGCTTTTCAGGAGCTTTAAGGATGATAAACCACATGGTCTAAATAACTCTCTAACTAGCTCTAACTAAATAACCTCTTAGCCACATTCTGCCTTTAGCTTCTGATGCACATGGGATTCCTCAGTACATCCCATTGCAGAGAGCTCCTGTACACCTATAAGCAGGTCAGGTGTAACTTTAAGTTGCATCATTTATAGAGGCTGGAGTGATTTAGTAGCAAAGTTTTATTGAACAAAGGCCCACATTGGTCCATGCCCCTATTAGATATGTTTTGGTGGACTGTATAAGCTGGAGGAATCGAGGTGTGCAAAGGTTTCTCACCCTAAACTATGTTGAGCGAGGTCTGAGTTTATATATGAGACTCACACCTTTCCTAAATTCATGGCAAAAGTGTTGAGAGCTTCAGAACTCTAAGCTAAAGAAACCCAAGAAAATCAGAACCAGGTGCATGACTGTGAAATTGAAATGGATTAGCTACAGAGAATATACTGTTTAAATATTATTGGTGACCCTTTTGAGAGAAGGGACCAGTCTGAGGCTCTTATTTCACCCATTGATGCTTCTTAATAGAAAGGAAAGGGTTAATTCAGATCAGAGTTGTGATTTTAGCTAACTTTTTTTACCTTTTCATGTAGGAAAGAAACAAGAGAGTGAAAAATGAGCAAAAATGCATCTTTTTTGTTGATACTGTGACAGTGCATAGTGGTTAGTTAATTATAGCAAGTGCTACGAGCTGAAGACTGATCATAATAACATTTATCTAGAACTCAGGTTTTTCCGTGCCTGGGGTATCATTGGATGTGCTCAAGTCCTTGTCCTCTCCTGCTTTTCCTAAGGCTGGGCAACACTGGGCAGCGCTGGTAGGTGACTTACTGGTGTCACTGGTGTCAGGATCAAGTGGAAAGTTAGGATAGAAGACTAAAGAGCAAGTGTTCGAGCCTCACCCTCTCTTTCTTATCAGAAACAAGTTCAGGATCTGAAAACCAAGTTCAGACATGAGGTTGAATAAGTTTGGAGCATCCTAGAGTCATTTGGAATAACAACACGATGTATTGTCTTCCAGGAGTGTGCCCCTCAATATTAACTCTTATTGAGGACAGTAAAGTTAATTGCCTGTCTTGTTTAAAATACACTCTCTTTAATTTCACATTCCAGCCTTTGTGTTATGCCTATGCCCAAAATGATCAGCATGAACGGGGGGGACATGTTTATGGGAGGCTTGAATGGGCATTTCTGAGCTAGCCAAGGATGGACATGCATTTCCAAGTGATCCTGAGACCAGCTATATCTTGGTTAAAGGGCTCTCTATCCTAAGTCTCTCTGTGTAAATATCTGTTAAGCATGATCAAGTGATCTCCAGAATTTCTCTTTGGTGCGCTGAGTTTGTTCCATCCCTTCTCTGTAGATCATGTTTCCATGTTTCCTAAACTTCACAGCATTCCCGTGGCTGAGCCCTGAGCGCTCTGTGTGTCCTTTTTATTTTAGGCATAGCTTCTGGACATGAATGTGCTGTCCTATTAATGGTCTCAGGAACATCATATTCAAGTCAACATTACCTCCTGGCTCCCATTTTGTTTTGCCCTAGGTGTTATGTAGCGTGATAGACAACGGCTGGAGGAACAGCTTAGAAGTGGGATCAGCAGTATTATTCCAGCTGTTGTTGCTAAAAGAGTATAAAGTCATTCTTTTTCACTAAGGAAGAAACTCCTTATGCCCCAACTGCCTGGTCTTCTGTGGAGAGCACTCACCAGAGCTCAGCTGTTTCAGGGAGCTTTGGCTGGGAATTTTCCCATTCAGACCTCTGGACAAAGGCATCTGGAGCATGCATACATAGACTCAGCTTGAGTATGAAACACTTCTGATGAATAAGCTCACTGAGGCTGACAATCTGGAAACATTCCCAGATTTTTGCCCAGCTAGGGTTTGTTTATATATGGGGAAGCAGAAAGAAAGGATGTGGGAAGACAAGAGGGAAAGGAACATGGTGAAGAAAAGGGGGGCAGAGTAAAAGAGAGGTGATCCTAGCTTTGGGCTGCATATCAGAGAGGAAATGAATTTACCCTCCCCTTCCCATTCAAACCCCCCAAATAATGGTTGCTTCTCAGTGGCACCTACTCAGCCATCGGTATGAATGGCATGAGCTTTCTGATGCAAACGATAGCTTCAGCCACAGCCAACTTGGCACAGCCTGGTTGAAAACTGGAAGTTGTTTCCGTTTGACGGCTGTTGGTGGCCTGTTGGTGGACTTACTCCAGTTCCCAGTAGACAGATGGCTGCAAAATCTCTGCTGCAGATGGTGCATCACTGGCCCGATTAGCAGTCTCAACAGAGAGGTCAGTGACATGGGGGGCTATAGAAGTGGAGTGACCTTGTTATCTGCCGGTGATGGCAGTCCTGGGTCACAGCTGGAGACAGGGTCTGTGGTGCGAACCACTTGCTGCACCACTCATGCAGAAAAATAGAGGAAATTGAGAGAAAAACATCTTCCCTCTTGAAAACTGACATGAAAATGAAAACTGGGGGAGAAAATGAACTATTCAAGGGTCAGAACAGTTGAAATAACTTAGTTTCTCTAAGTTCTGATGGTACCACTGCTTTTAAACAGCTCCTTGAAATGCTGGTATTTCAGGAGTGTCCCAATGTGTTTTCCATCCTGGAACTCATTGCAGCTCAGCAGCCTCTGGAGTCAGTGACCTTTCTATAGCATGGAGATCAATGCTTGCTATCGAATAGCTCTTCCACCAGCCCATCAGCATGTGGGGCACGGCAGACCTTTTCCAGTGAATGCTGCATCCCTGAAAGATATCAGCGCGAGCTTTTCTCACTCCCTGCCCATTGAAGCCTGAAGGATTGATTTAGTGCTTGTCAATGAGCTCTCAAGGGGCTTTTAACGCTTTAAAGCCGGCAGCTCTGCCTTTGCAGAGTTACTCAGTGGCCCTGGTGGGAGACAGCATGGAGTGACTGCGCAGAGAAGGATGTGTGTGAGGAAGCAAGAGGTGACTCAGTGTTTATGGGAGCATAATGGGGACAAAGAGACAGACTGTGGGGTTTTCCCACCTCCATCTGTCTCGGTTTGCACGGTGGCTTCCCCACATCTTGCAGGACACAGGCCACAGCAGGAGTTCCCTAAATGTGCAGTGAGTTCTCCCCTGCTTTGATGGCTTCCATTTTGATAAGTAGGCATGAATCAACCAAGGAGTAGCAAGACAGCACCCTGGAGTAGCTCTGCCTTTGATGGAGATCTTTCCACTGGCAAAACGCATCAAGTTCTGTGTTTTTTTTCCCTATTGATATGATTTCCTCACTTCCTTGGCCAGAGGATATGGCTACTCATGGTGATTTCTTTCTGTGGAGCATCCTGTGCCAGAGAATGGAAGGAGATGGAAAGAAGCTGTCCTAGCGTAACAGGAGACTTCTGACTGAGATGAAACATAGCAAGGAAATGTTTGGCACCCAAGTCAGGCTACCAAGGAGTACTATGGAACCATTGTGCAGGAATTCAGGGTTGAACTAGGAAGGTCAGGCCTCAGCTGCATTTCAAACTGGTAAGGGATGTGGAAGACATCAATAAGGGCTTCTGTAAGTATGCCCAGAGGATTACCCAGGAAAGTGTTGGCCCAGTGTTGAATGGGGCAAGTAGCCTGATGGAGAAGGAAGTAGAAAGGGTGAAGGTACTCAGTGCCTTTGTTGCCTTGTTCTATTGTCAAGGTTTGCTCCCAGGCACCCGAGTTCCTATACCTAGTGGCAGAATCTGGGCAAGAAAATACAACCCACTGCCAAGGAAGAGAGCTGAGGACCTTTTCTGCCAAGTGAGGTTGGATCATTCTTAGGGTCACCTTCTGACCTGGTATTCTATGCTTCTATGATTCAAGCAAACTGGACATTTGCAAGTCCATGGGACCAAATGGAATGCGTAAAGGGTGTTGAGGGAGCTGGCTGGTGTTATGGTGGAGCCACTGTTTATCATCTGGGGAGATTCTTGATGGATGGAAGAAGGCAAATATTAAACCCATCTTTAAAAAGGGCAAGGAGGAGGATCCAGAGAACAACCGGCTGGTCAGCGTACTCACGGACCCTGGGAAGATTAAGGAACAAGTAGTTATAAAGGTTATTTCCAGGCAAAATGATGGACAAAAAAGCGATTTGGAATAGACAGTGCAGATTTATTGAGAGCAGGTTGTGCCTGACTGACCAGTTTCCCTTTTGTGATGGGATGTCTGGTTGCATGGACCGTGGAGAGAAGTAAGCGTTGTACATTTTGACATTACAAAGGCCATTAACACAGTCTCCCCTAATGTTTCTGTATCCAGACCAGGAAACTGCACTGCATTAGCGGTTTCCAAAGTGCCTTATTAGGTGGATATAGTTCATCCAGGCTTAAAAGGGTAATGGTCAATGGTTTGAAGTCTAATCAGGAGCTGCTTAGTAGTTACATCTGACAGGGGTTGATACTATTGCAAATATTGTTTAATGTCTTCTTTAGCAACTTGGTTGATGGGGCAAAATGCACCTTCAGCAGGTTTGTGGATGACACCAAATTGGGAAGAGTCACTGATATGCTGCAAAACAGCACTACCATTCAGAAGGACCTCAGCAAACAGGAGATATGGGCTGGAGAAGTGTTACAACACAAAGAAATGCACAGTTCTACACCTGGGACAGAATAACTGCATGGAGAAGGATGAGCTGGGACTGACCGGCTTGGAAATGTCTCTAGAGGGGAGAGTCTGCAGGTTCTAGAGGGCAATGATGTGGAAATGAGTCAGCAATGCACCCATGCAACAATGAAGGTCAGCATTAGTGGTCTATATAAACAAGAATATAGCCAAGAGATCAAGAGAATTGAATATTCTTCTCTGCTTGACACCCACATCTGATACCCTTGAGCCCCCATCTGGAAGAGGTGTCACCACATTGGAGCAAGTCCAGTGGGTGCTTAGGGAGCTGGAGGATGTGATGTAAATGGAAGCAAAGAAAACGACCTGGAGAGGAGGGGGTTGTTAAGAAGGAGTCACAGAGAAATCAAACAAATGGAAAGGTCTATGGGCACCAGCTGCAGCAGGAAAAAATCCAACTGACTGTAAAGAAAAGTAATCCTTCACCATGAGAGCAGTTCAACACTGTAAGAAGTCATCTGGGAGAGCTGGTGGCATTTCTGCTCTTGGTGATTTTCAAAACTTGATAGGACAAGGCCCTGGGAAAGCTGCTCTGACTTTGAAATTAGCCCATTCTTGGGCAGAGATTGCACTGGGAACTCGAGAGTTTCTTCACCAACCTAAATGATTCTGATTCTGCCAGCCCACGTCTCATTCTCTGGAGGTTCAGGGACCTGGGGAAGAGGATGGACTCTCCATGGGAAGCATGGAGAAAGGAAAGGTTTTTTTAATGGGGGAAAACATCTAAAGACATCTAAAACATCTAAAGTCTTCCCTTATATTCACATACAGTCTATACTTAAGATCAACTGATTTCTTCCCTTTTTTGACCAAAGGAGATTTTTGAAGTTCACACTAATGCCAGTTAGATCATAGTGTTGCTGCACGGATTTATTACATCTCATTCCCACTAGGACAGGGTCCAAATCTCCCTTTCTATCCCCTAGGAGCTGCTGACTGGAGACTTGCTGTTTTATTTCACACCATCATAGATTGATGGCTTGGTACTCTCCAGCCACAAATGGAATAGGATCCAGGTGATACACAGTATAGTACTGAGTCCAACGAAATGGCAGAATTTGGGATCAGATTGGCCATGAAAGGAACCAGAGGCTTGTTTTGCAGGCAGCAAACCCAGTTTCTAGCTGAGCTGGAAGCCTAGTCTGATCTGGAGTTGGGTGAGTTTAAGGGAGAGCTATCTGTAAACCAGGTTTCCAATAGACTTCAGGTTACTTCACATCAGTGACCAGGAAACCAAATCCTCAAGTTTCATGTTTGTTCGAAGGTAAAACTCAGAGGGAAATGAAAATCAAACTTTTGCAGCCTTTAGTAGGTCTAAAGAACAGATTTACCCTCGGCAGAGCACACGTGCACTAACTCATCCTGCCCATCTAATCAGAAGCTCAAATCTCTGCAGCCAAAGCACGACCAACTCACTCTTGCTTAAATTAGTTAATGAAATTAAATTCCCAATATAAATAGTTGATGTGCTGGAATATAGGAAATAATCCTGCATTAGCCTCCAGGCATGAGCTGCTTGATTAATAGATCTGTTTCTAATTCCTCCAAGCATCAGCATCTACTCTTCACTCATCTGGTATTCAGGCCGAATCAACTGAGCTGATTCACGTGTATAAGCGTTTCTACGGCCAGGTCCTAAATTCAATCCTTGCACTTTCGCAATTCCCTTTTAATTTTATTAGGGACATAAAAGTGCCTTCAAAGAAACTTCCCTCCGCAGCCAGTGCTTTGAGTTAATCGGTGTGCACGTACCCCAGCAGCGCGTTGGTGCTGTGCTGCACACCGCAAATCAGAAGTGACAAATAGCTTGTTCCTGCAAGGTGCTGAAGGCAACAGCTTCCTAACTTGGATCCCCAGTGCCACAGACCCACAGCTGTATTTGGCCTAGTTTTGAGAAGTGTTAAACCTCTCTACCTGTGGGAGGGGAGAAAAAAAGCCACAAGTACTTATCACTTCAGGATGGGTTGTTAGGTTAAACAAAGGGGAATGCTGAATCACAAGCACTTTGTTGTGGAGGTGCATGCATTTGTAATCTGCTTTCATCGCCAGCATGCCTGTGGCTCTTCTTATTTGGGAATCTTTCCATGTGTTGCCTGTATGTTTTCTTTTAAGCTCCTTTTCAAGCCCCCTTTCAAGTGAGCAGAGCTGAAGAAGACTTGCAGAACTCTACTGGTTTAGGAGTGGCTCAGACTAAGGACCAGACTGGCCACTAGTTTGTTGACTCATGCTCATAACTCCAAGCATTGATGGGGGAGAATAAAGAGATCTATGGGCTGAGCACCCAAGCTCTCCCCTTCCCTTTTCCCCTTGTTCTTGTCTGTTTAACATGCAAGATCTGCAGGAAATGGGCTATTTCTTACCGTGGCCTTTCTGTAGAGCCTGGTTGATGCTTTCCAGAGATAACTAAATGCAAGCTGTAACAAGGTGGATCCCCCTCCTCATCTTCTCTTGCTGCAGGTATATTCGCTCAGAGCGCTCTGTCATTCTTATCAACTTCTGCCTATCCATCATCTCCTCCAACGCCCTCATCCTGATCGGACAGACCCAGACCCGGAACAAGGTAGGAGATCAGTCGAGCTTTGTTTGTTTGTTTGCTTTTCCCCCTGATTTAGCACTGAAATAATCCATTCAGGCAGCACTTCCTCATTTTTCCTCCATCTGCTCATTAGCAACATGTCAAAGCTACGATTAAATGGCACATTTCAATTTTCTTGTGGAGACTTTGTCAGCATCCTCGGGGCTTTGATTCAAACCAATGTGATATTTTTGACTCTCTGCCTAGAGTAGCTGGCACATGGCACAGGAAAGAAATGTGGTTATTTGCAAAGGCTTTAACTGTTTTATATTCAAAAAATTACAGAGGAAGATTGAGAAAAGGCTTAAAAAAACCCACCCCAAACAAACAACATCTCTCAGCTTCACATTTATTTCTCCACCAACTTTTATACTCAGAGCTTAAAGCACTTGGCAGATGTTAATGCACACAGCCACAAAAAAAACACCTTTTTTGGGGTAGGAAGTGTTGCCAGAGGCATTGTACATGCTGCATAGCTGGGGACAGTGAGGGCCTTGCTGCGGATCAGTGTGACTTCAGCAGTGAAGGCATAGCATGGACTGTCAAGCCACATGCAGCAGTTGCACGTACATGCCTTCCCTTACAGACACAGCTGGAGAGGCGTGTGCTGCCTGTATGACTTTCCTCCAGCCAAAGCACTTTCAGTTTCCTCATTGGTATTTGGCCTAACAAATCACTGCATATCATTAACACTGGAGAGGGACTCTTCATCAGTAGTGATAGGACAAGGGGTGATGGGTTCAAAATGAAACAGGGGAAGTTCAGGTTAGATATAAGGAAGGAGTTCTTTACTGTGAGGGTCCTGAGGCACTGGCACAGGGTGCCCTAAGAAGTGGTGAACGCTCCATCCCTGGCAGTGTTCAAGGCCAGGTTGGACAGAGCCTTGGGTGACATGGTCTAGTGTGAGGTGTCCCTGCCCATGGCAGGGGGTCGGAATTGAGTGATCTTAAGGTCCTTTCCAACCCAAACCATTCTGTGATTCTATGATTAATATCTTCCTGTCGTACATTTTCCCATCTCCCCAAGTGCTCCAACCTTTCCTAACTCCACTAAATAGAAAAGTGAAGGAAGAAGTGTTCTTCACTACTCCTGCTGCCAAAATCTCACTCAGAAGTCAAAATGTAGGCTTTAATTAACAGTAACCAGTGACCAGCCAATTTTTTCCAGCCTGTGCTTTGGCAGCCAGAACATGTTGTCACTTCTGGAAGTGTTTCTGCAGAAAAGCCCTAAGGTTTTAATGAATCAAAGGGATTAATTTCTATGGAGGGCCCTTCAGGTTAAGGGTACATTGTTTGAGGAAAAGTTTTACAGCTGCTTGAGTCATATGTGCGCAGAGAAGCGCAGAGACATGCAGCCAGACAGCCCTGCTCCTATTAAACATGCCCTTCAGACGCTAACTTTGCAAAGCAGAGCTGTCTTTCATGGCAAACATGGTTGGAAAGAAGTGGAGAAAGAATGAGCTGGACTCTTGATTACCAGGGTGTGTTGTCTGCAACCCCAAGTGTGTGCTAGGAGCTTCTTTCAATAGGAAGACGTACAGAGGGATGCTCAACATGGCAAACCATGGCTGGACCCACTCTTTGGTTATTCTGCTTCACCCTAGGACAAGAGGCAGATATCTTCATGCTCTCTCACTCCTTCAGAGCACAGTTGTGAGCCCAGGTTCTCCCTTGTGCTTTTTCTCACATGATTCTGCGTGTTCACCGTCAGTGGGGATTCAAAGCTCCCGGCTGCGATTGCATGCGGCAGATTAGCTCTTTGCACATACATATGCATGAAACACCATAAATAGAAAGGTTATTCTTGGATTTCCTCTCAGCCATCTAGTAAACAGTCTCTAGCAGGGAACAGAGAAAGAAAACTATACAGAAAAGAGACCAAAGAGTGTAAATGAAGATTTTATTCACATTCAATTATTGATAATGGAACATATTAAGATGTTTGTGATTGATTTATAATTACACTTACGAGGGGAGAATTTCTATGCTATTTGTTGCCCTGGAAATGCCAGATTCTCCCTTGATTTTCATCCGTGTAACCTCAAAGGCAAGATTCCATGCCTGGATTTACTAAGCTCTTTGAAGATGAAAGGCCTGGGAAAAGGCTAAAAACTTACAGTCAGCAATTACATGATACAAAAGAAATGAATGCTGCATGAACTGGCCATATCTCAAAGGCATGGCTACGTGCTGCAAGGAGACTGATTTCCCCTCTTAAAGGAAAACATGGGCTAATGGCCTTGACAGACTGACAAGCTCTGCTCAATCTTTTAGCAGCAGCTTGGGACATCATATCCCGGTGCTTGGCCTTCATGGAGTTGGGTTTTTTATCTTTACAAGGCAAGAAAAACCTGAAGCAGAGGTAGCAGAAGCAAATATGTGCTTGCCCATCAACTGGCCAAGTTCACAGCCTGGTTTCAGGAAATGGGTTTATACTGGCCCAGTTGAGATGTGCATATGTCTGTTGTGCTCCTCTTCTCTTTGCCTTTCTATTAAAACTACCCAATTGAGACTAAAATAGCCCGAAAATATATCTCTCTGGTGTAAAATTAGAAAGCAAAAGGGTTTTTTTCTCCCCTTTACAAACTGCTGACAAACTGGGCAGAACAAAATCAGAATGGTAAAATGAACAGTGTTTTATCTGGTATTCTAAAATAGCAGTCTCCTAAAATTCCAGAAAACATCCTGTGTGGCTGTTCTATGTAGGGCTGTAAGCTTATGAATAGCAAACACCTTTTCACATGTAAAAATGGAAATTATCATATTGAGCTGTGTTATTTGTGCTGAACTGTTATCCAGAATCCATTTATAAGCAAAGTACCAAGGGTTTTGGTGTCAAATACAAATATGGAACAAAAAAAGACAGTTCCTGTCTCAAAGGACACACTGTCTTCCTTTTATTCACAGCCTCTGATAACATCGTTTTCTGCCAGTGTATGAATTGAGAGCAATCCAATAAAATCATGATAAAAGACACTCCATGCATGAGAGCTTGGTGTTAAAAGATGCTGGTGGGTGAAAAAAGAGGAAGGTTCACTGACCGTAAACCCAAAGTCCATGTTTCCTGATAGAACTCAAAGCAGAGAAATTCTTCACTACAAACTTCCCCCTCCCCTTGGCCTGAATGTCTTAAACCATTTTGCATCCGATCAAGAGTCACTTTTAAAGTCTTATTTGCTCTCCCTCCTCCTTGGGAGCCACTTGGAGTTTCTTTCCATTATTGTGTACATTGATTCACGGTTTCCAACTCATAGATGGTGGAAAACTGGCAGAGTTAAACAGAGCGGCACCAATTTGCACCAGTGAAGGATTTGGCCTTGCTGAGCTAAAAACAAAGGCGAGCTGTTCAGCTTTCCAGTCCATCTCCCTGGCACTACAGGATTGCTCTTCATAATGCATTTGCTAGTACTTTCCCCACTTTAATTTTAAACGGCTTAAGCTCCCTGCACTTCCCTTGAGAGATTTCCCAATGAGTTGTAGAGCTCACCATGATGAAATTCTTTCTAATGTAGGTTTCTTTTTCCTTTCCTTTTTTTTTCCCGTCTGTTAGTAGTTATATACCCTTGTACAACTATGCACCACTCATGTTTTCTGTCCTTACCAACCCCTGGCAGCTGTGCTTTCACCCGGCTCTCGCAGCTTAACTCTTTCACATAACAATCCTTCCCTGGCAGGGACACCATCTAAATTGCCCTCCTCTGATTTCATTTTATGGCTCAGCTGCCAACAACATGGTGCTTTGGAAACCTTTTGAGATGGGTGCACGACTTCCTAACTGCTCCAACTTCCCCAAAAGGATGGTGGCAATGGATGTGATCATTTGGAGGATAAATATATGTTGCTGAAGCCAAGAAAGCACCAGGATGGGATGCAGGATCAGACTTCAGGGAGGTGTTAATCCTGGGTTTTTCATAGAGCTCATGCAGCCAATTTCCATGCAGTACTTAAATGTGAAGCAAACACTTTAGTCCTTTCCTAGGTCAAACCTTGTGGGGGAGGCTGATTCTTCCTAAAATGTCTTTTTGTGTCTTGATCTTCATGACTTTGCGTTCCAGAGCCTGGTTTGGAAGCATCTCCCTGCACCTTCTGCTTTCCTGCCCGCTGCTCTCTCCGCCTGCTGCTCCTCTCACGTGTCCTCCTTTCCTCCTCTCTCCAGGTGATATGCACGCTGGTGGCGGCTTTCTTGCACTTCTTCTTCCTCTCCTCTTTCTGCTGGGTGCTGACCGAGGCTTGGCAGTCCTACATGGCCGTGACAGGCCGGTTACGGAACCGCATCATCCGCAAGCGCTTCTTGTGTCTTGGATGGGGTGAGGATGCTGGGTCTGAGGAGAAGCTTTCAATGCTTTCAGGGGTGTCAAGCAGGGCTGAAATGGTTAAAGACAGCGTGAGCAAGAGCATTAAGTCCTGTCACACAAAAGAGATGAGTCAAGAGTGGCTGAGTTTTGAAAGGGAGTGCTGGGGGTGGTTTCTCCTGGGTTTGGGTCTCTTTCTTGCTTTCTCCTTCTATGTGCAACCCAGAGTCAAGCAAGCTCTGAAATCCTGTCTCCATGGCAGCAGGGCCTTTCGTAGACAAATAAACTGAGACTGGTGCAGATGCTTGTACCTAATTTTTCTCCCTTTTCCATATGTTTAATTTATTACCCTTAAATGATGCATTCTGTAGTCGAAAACAAACACAAACCCATAACCTGCCCTTTCAAAGCAATAACAAGTGTGTGTTTGAAAGAAGCAACTGAACAAAAAGTTGCTCAAAAGCAAGCAGATGAAAAGGAGAAAGGGAGAGGGAAAGCGTTGTGCATCTGAGCTGTATTAGCGTCTCATTTTACTACTGAAGTCTGGCACTTCACCCCAGGCAAAGTATTTCTGATGCTTACGGAGAGCCCTGATGTGATTTATTCTGGCACATCAAGAGCCGTCCTCCTTCCAGCACCTGCATCCCTTTAAGTTTGCACTCTTAGCTTTTGCTTATAGCCAGAAAACAAACTGTCTTGTTGAAATATAGCGTTTGTGTGTAGCAGGAGCACAGCTACATACATGCAAACTATGTGCATGAATATGCGCGTGTTCATGAACGTGATTATACACAAACTGCAACTCAAGGAACATCAGGGATATTGAATGCAGACTAATAGCTTTTCTAGGTAATAAAAAAGGGTTTTTTTCCTGATTTGGAATTGCTGGGACAGATGGGTGTGTTAGCCAAGGGAATTTTGGATGAGCAGCTTTCACATTTGTAGTCTGTACAGATTAAAACCACCCCAACGCTCTACATGTGTAGAAGCATAATTTGCACTGCTAGTAAAAGGTAGTTATCTCTGAGCTAGGATGTGCTGGCTGATAAATGATGCATAGTAACCATCTGAAATAGGTTAGGACAAGAAATAAGGAGCACTCTCGCCTATGGAGGCAGCAAGGGAATTTCTGATATTTAGCATCCTGTTGTAGAGTTGGGATTAATGGCACTTCTCAGAGGAAAGAGGCCAAAAAGATGTTTTAAAGAGCATAATCTGAAATAATTAGCACAATTAATTTTGTCATGGGATGATTCTCCCCCTTTTCCCCCTTTTGCGTATTAGCATTTCTCTAAGCCCTTGTTTGAGCCGTCTTTGCCAAGTTCTCAGCTGCTGTCAGCTGTAGCTCATTGAAGCCACAATAGTTTTCATCAGCAGTGAGGTTTGTTCCCTGTGTTTTTGTTCTCCTCTTGGGTATGCCACTTTGCCTTTCCAGCTGAGAGATTTTAGCAATTAGATTTTCTTTTATTCATATTATTATTTAGAACAGACAGACAAAGTGTTCCTTAGAAACAATTCATTCATCATATTTAGCTCCAGTAAAGAAGACATAATTTTGTCAGTCTTTTTACAACCACAATTTCCGCAGAAACTCAGGCTCTGAGTGGGTCTTCTGTTCATAACACTTATGGTTCTTGGTACTTATTGGACATGAGGAGCACACAATCTGATTCTTCCCTGCCCTGACAATATAAAACACTTTGAAACAGGTTTCTAACGTATTTATTTGGACTTGTGAATGCAAAATTCACTTCAAAACTCTTCAAAACAGATTTCTAATGTATTTATTTGGAACTGTGAATGTACAATTCACTTTCTGCCGAAAGCCCTTAAAACCTTGCTTGTGACTACACGAGTGACTACCTAGAAGGCTGATACAAACCACCCACAGTGTACGGAACAGATCAGTTAGGAATAACTTTCTTTCAAATAATCAAAAACCAGATTGAAAGTTATTATTCTTTTTCCAATCTAATCACACCTAACTATGATTTGGCCATTAACAGGTCTCCCAAGACAGAGGAATACAGCACCCCTCACTGTGATGCTCTCTGGCTTAGCTACCATGGCATAGCTACCACCTTCAGTTAATGCTGCTTGTACAGCTCCATTTTCAGCTCAAGCTGGGGCTCCTACCCAGGCTTGGTTCTTTGCCAGTCCCTGTAAGCTGATGAGTTCACAGCCTGAGTCTCTGTTTCTGCATAATTATCACGTCTAAGAGAAGCACTTTGCAAAGAACAAGTTGCTATTTTTGGTGGAGTCTTTGCCAACTTTTCCTCTTTCACAGGGCCTCTTGCATCAAGCTCTACTCCTGAAAAAGTCCTTTCACATGTGGTTCCTTGGTGTGTTTGCAATGGGATGCCATATTGATGGCATCACAGTGAATACAGCTCCCAGGATATACCCAGATGAGGTGTGAAAGAGGGTTAGCAAGAGGAGGAAAAAAAGAGGAAGAAGAAAAAAAGAAAGAAAGAAAGAAAAAGGAGACATCTTTTAAAGCCACTGCCTTTTGGTTTTGGAGTCGTCGAGCACGAGCTGTACTTGGAAATCTCATGTGGGAGGAGAAACACTTCCCTTTACGATAACTCTCAAATGCTGTATGTTCCAGCCAACTTGGCTTCTACATCCCAGCTGGCTGCAGACCCTCACTATTAATCAATTTGGTGATGATTTGTATTGCTGAGTGACCACCTTGCCAGCAGGGTTATTGTTTGGATGCTGTGTCTGCACATCGCTTCGATCTACAGCGTCTTCTGCAGCCACCCGCCATGACCTCTACAGCGCAAGCATTAGGGGCTTGTCAAGAAGCACTAATCCTAGCTGGCTACTGATCCTGCTAATTCTTAATGGGATTTGCCCATCTTTAACATTGAGACAGCTTAATTCATCATGTCACATGGAGGAGGGCTATAAAAAGCCACATGGAGACCTCCATAGCTGAACAACCAGATGTTACTAGCTGATATCCAGGCATTTCTATAGGGAAAGGGGAACGCTGGGCTGGAGTTAGTGAACAAGAAAAGTACCCAATCTCCTCCGTAGATCCTGAGCAGTTTATTATGGCAGGGATAAGAAGGATCAGAAGACTATTAGCAAGATATAGTGTCTTTTGTTAGTGGTGATTGTGCCCAGTCATTCTAGGACACGGTGATTTCAGAACCTTTTGATGAGTTTTAGGCCAATAACCAGCAGGTTTTCTTCATGCTCCTTATTCTAATGTTATGGGAGCTTCTAGCAGCAGGATCAGGGCAATAGCTTCACCCCTTTATGCACCAGAAGTAGCATTCTGTGCTGACACCATTAGCTCACGATGCTCTGAAAAGATAAATTATACTATGTACATTGTGGCATCCCAGCTACAGACCAACCTGCTCATCCTTTGCGACACTTGGAATGAAGTGTGTCTACTTGAGGGCAGCTGGTTTCTCTTAGTTTATTCCTCTTTTGGGCACAAAAAAAGGAGCAGGTCTCTGGCAAGACAAGAAGCATCCTGGTTTTCAGTAAGACCTGATGTTCTGATGCTCTGTTCCGTTGCTGTTCAGATGGATCTGCTCTACTATAGATCATGGACCAAAACTTAGGGGACCTCTTTGGGACAGGGGAAGCTCAGTTTCCTTTTCTTTCTCTGTTTCATCTGGGGTGAGATCTGAACCCATCTTATTCATCATACAGTATGGTAAGAGTGAACATTGCCCTTAGTCTCCTTGCTAGTGTCTTTGTGTTGGGTCATGGCTGAACATTCGATCTTCAAGCGACATCTTTATATATTCCTGGCCAGCCTTTGTACCTTAGACTAAATTAAATCTATTTTATGCATCCACATGTACTGTCAGTCCTCACACAACTGCTGAGACCACAGCAGGATATGAGCTGATTACAGCTTACGGCATTTACTTCATTAGCAGAGGTAACAAGGGTTCGTGCTTTGGCTCTGAAGGTCCTGAATTCAATCTCTGTCAAAGACCCAGGCTGGGACAGATGGTGCTGGAATAACACTGGGAAGAATGGGGTGTATTATGCTGTCGAGTGGGAGAAGAACTTCACATAAGCTTAAATGACCAATTTTCTCTTGTTTCATTCCTGTAGGGCTCCCTGCCTTGGTTGTTGCCATTTCTGTGGGATTTACTAAAGCCAAGGGGTACGGCACCGTGAACTAGTGAGTAAAGGAGTTCTTCCTTTTCCTCCCTGCATCACCTTCCATGCTTTTTTTGTTATAATCCAGTCCTTGACCCCCAAGATCCAGGGTAGGAGTTAAATTCTGGTGTGAGATGATGGGAGAGGAAGGAGCCATCCTCTTTCTCTGCCTCCTCAAGCCCTGGCCAAGATGGATTGCATATTCCTTTAAACACCAGTTCACAGGGACTAGTTAGATTTAGCTGCTGCATCCATGACAGCACTTCAATCTAACTGCATCCTACTTAGAGATTTATTTATATATGTATGTATATATGTGTATATATGTGTGTATATAATGGGGAAAATGTGGTATTTTTAAAGTTTCAGATGTTTCAAAGTTAAAAATAGCTTTGGTGTTTGTCTATTTAATGCTTTGCTTGATTGGTCCCAGATTTTTGAAATAGCTCAGCTCTGGTTTAGGCACCAGAACAAGCACGAGGTTTTCAAACCAAGGTTTGGAAAGCAATCTGAATTTGCCTGTTTTCTGAATTCCACAGGATTTGCCTTTGGGAAACTTTTATTTGCGTGTAATGGGGGAAGTAATGAGGGGTGGAAGTACCAGAGGAAGACTGTGCAGGGGTGAAAAACACATAAAGGGAAAGCTGGAATTACTCAGAACTGAGTATCAGCACAACTGAAAAAGTGTTATTTTTTCACTGTGCTGTGAAAAAGAGAGCTTAGCAATTATATGCATAGTGGCAGCCAATGGATAATATTTTATGTAGTCATAAATCAGGCCTGCATATACAGTGTTTAAGACAAAGATGTGACCAGCAACAGACGAGGGTTTGAGAAGTCCACTGAGAAAATGGCATGTGCAATCCCTACTCTTTCTCAATTCCCACCGTATTCTGCGCACCCACAACCAAATGGTGCAGGGTTTGCATTTTGATTGCAGGAGAATATTAAACCAGAACAGCAGTGTTCTCTGCTTTGCAGTCTGGATTACTGCAGTCTAAATTACTGTATGATACAGAGGGCTCAGGAAAGTGGGTTCCTCAAATGCCTGTCCTGGCATCAAGATGCACTGGATGTACCTGTCCTGACTTGCTTGCCCCAGCTCAGGGTGTCCTGGTGGAGAGGGATCTGGTGCTTGTTGTAAGACTCAGAAGAGGGCAATGCATGGCCTGGTTCTCAGGAGTGCTGCTGAGATCCCAAATTCCCTTTAGCTTTCCTGTGGGTCTGCTGTTTCTGATATTTCATGCAAGTCCATGAGAACAATTCATAATGAACAAGCATCTGGGGAACGGGAGGAAGGTCCTAAGTATTTCTGCTTCCTTTCCTTTTTGCAGACTGTTGGGAATTGCTGCAAAAAGCTCTACAGCTTCTTCCCCATTAATGTTTCAGGGCCATCCTAGAGTTTTGTGATCAACATTGACCATACAAATGAATGTGGGCAGGGAAGGGAGGAACATGCAGGAAAGCACACCCCATTTCTCTGCCCTGGACCACTGAGTGCCAGCATCTCCTCACCCCCGAGCAATGCCCTCTGAAGCTGCATCCAAAAGGGTGTCAATGCATGACAAAACCTGTTGGTCTTCTGCTTTGCTCTCAGATTGACACACGAGTGAGGTGGCCAGGAGGCTGCACTGACTTCCCATCGTTCCCAGGGGATGCTTAACCACAGCAGCACTCGTTTTGCTGCTAATCCTGTGACTCCTTTCAGCCATAAAGACTCTGTCGCTCCATGCATCCAAGGGCTGGATGCTGCTGGCCTCCCTGCCCAGCAGGCTGGCTGGCTTCCCCAGGGGATGGCAGGGAATCCTGTGCTCTCAGCAGGAGCTGCAGCCCAGTGGCATCATTTACTAGCTCTGCTTTCAGGGTGCTCATCACCAAAATAGCCTTTGTACCTTGGCAAGTCTAGTTTGGTCCTCCTTTGGTTTCCATTCCATGCTGCAGCTCCGCATGGGGTAAAGCTGGTGAGTCCCAGCATTTAATACATGACAAATATTCATGTGGATGAAGCTAGACAGGGTGCCCTGACAGATAGAAGAACACACTTCTTCCCATTTTCCTGCTCAAAAGGCATGAAAGCTATCTTACATTTATGTGTGCCCTTGGTTTTACCTCTCCTTTAGAGCAAAGTCAGCATTACATAGCAGAAATTGAAGAGCTGAGCTCCAAAACTTGAGATTTAAGACTGATGCTGAAGGCATATAAGCACAATATGGACCTGGATAGAAGCTCATTTGTTGGTTTCTGGCCATTACATCAGCATGTGATGTAGTTGCAAAGTTCAGAGCTAGAATTTCAGGAGCTATCTTAGTTTTGTCTCTGGTGAGTACAGGGCATACATTGGTCATTTCAAGTGGCCAGTGTCAGTCTTTCAAAGCATGATGTTTCCATCTTGCAGAAGGAAGGAAAGACATTAGCCACAGCACGTCCCTCCTTGTGAAGCAGGGGAAAAGAGCTGACTTGACAAACCACAAGGGACTTCAAAGTGTTTTTAAAGCTGCCTCCAACCATGCAATTTCTGTTCTTTAAGAGCAGTGCATTAGCACCTATTGGGTTTCTTGTAGAGATAGGCATTGGGGCAAAGTAGGGCTCTGGTATTTAGCCGAGCACAGAAGCTGATTGATACTCAACATCCTTATAGGGGGTCTATAAGGATGCTGGGGAGGGACTCTTCATTAGGGACTGGAGTGATAGGACAAGGGGTGATGGGTTCAAACTGAAACAGGGGAAGTTTAGATTGGATGTAAGGAAGAAATTCTTTACTGTAAGGGTGGTGAGGCACTGGAATGGGTTGACCAAAGAAGTGGTGAGTGCTCCATCCCTGACAGTGTTCAAGGCCAGGTTGGACAGAGCCTTGGGTGACATGGTTTAGTGTGAGGTGTCACAGCCCATGGCGGGGGGCTGCAACTGGATGATCTTAAGGTCCTTTCCAACCCAAACCATTCTGTGATTCTATGATTGTAAGATGAGAAGGGAGAGAGAGGTTCAGGTTAAAAGCTGTGTATGTCCTACTGGATTTGGACTGTGTCTCTTGTTTTCCGAGTTGTGATTTTTCCAGCAGCCATTTACCCAGAGGTCTTTATTGCTCAGTGCGCTTCTTCTGGAGTGCTCTGAACTTTCCATCTGCAATGAGGGGAGGAGGACATGAGGGGATTTTTTCTTTTTTTTTACTTTAATACTATTTGAAAAGAGATTTTGCAGTTGTTTGGAGAGTTACTGGGGTAGGGTACGGGCTGTACTTTCAGTCTCAAAGAGAGTCTCTTAGAGATAATGGAGGTCTAAAGGACCTGACACTGTTCACCTCCTTGTATTAGGCTGAATGCCTGAATAATAACTCCTTTTAGCCTGTACTCCAAGGACTGACTCTGGACCTCTAAAGTTTGACAAGCTGCCTCTTAAAGCTTGACCTGAATAATTGGGTTTATGCTGCTGGTAGCTGGGAACTCATATCCTGCCCCACAAGAGAGCCCACAAAAGGTTTTGTGAGAGCAGTGCCAAGACACAGCAAATTTCCAGGGTCCTTGTGTGTCATTGCATCAGGGCTGTCACCCACAGGTACCACGGCAGCTCCTATACTAACCTCTAAAGTAATACTGGTGGGACAGCCCCGATTCCCAATGGTAGTCTAGTTATACAAATATCTTGTCTGTTGCATTCATTGGAGCTGCTTAGTTTTGTACACGATGGAGGTGAGACCTGTTGCTGGCAGAGCTGTATGGTGTAGTCAAGAAGGTCTCAATGGAAGGCTTGGAGCACTGTGTACAGTGCTGGTGTCCTCAACGTAAGAATGACATGGAGCTGCTGGAGCAAATCCAGAGGAGGCCACGAGGATGATCAGGGGCTGGAGCACCTCCTGTATGAAAAGGGGCTGAGAACATTGGGGCTGTTCAGCCTGGAGAAGAGAAGCTGTGTGGAGACCTCAGAGCAGCTTCCAGTGTCTGAATGGGGCTACAAGGATGCTGGAGAGGGACTCTTCATCAGGGACTGGAGTGATAGGACAAGGGGTGATGGGTTCAGACTGAAACAGGGGAAGTTCAGGTTGGAGATAAGGAAGAAGTTCTTTACTGTGAGGGTGCTGAGACACTGGCACAGAGTGCCCAGAGAAGTGGTAAATACTTCATCCCTGTCAGTGTTCAAGGCCAGGTTGGAGAGAGGCTTGGGTGACATGGTCTAGTGTGAGGCATCCCTGCCCATGACACAGGGTTGGAACTGGATGATCTTGAGGTCCTTTCCAACCCAAACCATTCTGTGATTCCATGAAGTCAGCTCTTTGCAGGACCGAGTAAAAACCCATCCATCTCTCATATTTGCTATGGCAGATTCATAAAAGCATCGGATGTTTTACAAAGAGCTCTATTGTGTTGAACACAAGCTACTGTCAATCGGGGATGCACTGCTTAGAAATAGTAGTCTGGAGCTGCTGAACGTTGTTAAACCATTCACTATCTCCCTTTAAGAGATCTGTGCAGAGATCCTTTGGCAAGTACTGGGGAACCTCTTAGTGAAATGCAAATATTTGTGTGCCTCGTAGGCACAGATGCTAAAAGCATCTCCACCAGATTATTGCTGGAGTTCGCTGTCAGTTTCCCCTCTCAGCTATCACTTGACCCTTTCCCTTCCCTTGCTGTCAGCCACCACCTCTGACAGCCTTGAAAATGCTTCCATGAAGCACTGGGGCAGAGAGGTCAGGCAGTCAAAAGGGATAAGGATCAGTGTTTGGTGATGTGTGAATTAGCCTTCAGAATGCCTGATGCTCAAAGGGGAAGGAAGGGGCTGCAGGGACCTCCTAATTGGAGCGCAGGACAGTCAGCTCCTCTCTTCATCTCTCGGTTGGAATAGACCCTGGGAAAAACGGTCTCAAAATCAGGATGGAGCCTTGGAGAAAAAGGGCTGGGAAAGGGCTGGGATTTGGGAGCCCTCCTGCTTCCCCCTGCCCTCTCCTTGCAGTTATTGCAGCCCTCCAAAGCTTCATTCTTATTCCCTCCATCCCCAGCTGATTACTCCTTTCATTACAGCTGCTCAGGCAGTTTATGAAGGAGCAACATGCTATCAGGAAGGAATCAGAATTGATTAAATTAGCCCATTGCAGGTTTAATATAAGAATAAACAAGATACAGATCTCAGAATAAAAAACAGAATGTCCTGCTTTTAATTTTCAATTTTAAATAATTTTTTTTTTCCCTCCCCCAAAATGTTCTGTGTTTTGGGGCAACAAATAATGGTTTTTTTTGCAAGTTGGAAGAGCTACAGAACAAAATTGAAGTGTTTCCAGGAAAGCTTTGTTTCCTGGGAGACTCTGAAAGGCAGCCTTGGTTTTGCTGCTGGTGCAGAATGAACCCATATTGCTGAGAGCACAGGCGTGTAACTAAGTTACTGCAAGCGTTAGTTGGGTTAGGAGCTTGGAGAAAGTCCTCACTCCATTGTGGTTGCCTGCTCTTCTCCTGTGGTAAGTGCACTGCTGAAATGGGATTACTTCATCACAGGTTTTCTCCAGGGTACTCCAATGTCAAAGCATGGAAACTTTCCATGAGGTTGCAGACAAGGTGTAAATTTGCATCCTCTGTTGCCATGAATACCTACTTTATGTGTCCATGCTCTGATCTGCTGGATTCCCCTCTAAATGGATAGCTCAGCTCTTGTGCTGCTGTAACTGTTCATGGCTGTTGTAGTTACAGACTTGTTGATGTGGAAGGGGTAGCTGGAGGCCATCGGGTCCAGCCACCCTCTGCTTAAGCAGGGTCATCAGGGTTGGCTGCCCAGGACAAGGACCTGTAGTGACAGGACAAGGGGGAATGGCTTTAAAATGAAAGAGGGGAGGTTTAGACTAGAGATTCAGAAGTTCTTCCCTGTGAGGGTGCTGAGGCGCTGGCACAGGGTGCCCAGAGCTTTGGCTGCCCCATCCCTGGCAGTGTTCAAGGCCAGGTTGGACACGGGCTTGGAGCACCCTGCTCTAGTGGAAGGTGTCCCTGCCTATGGCATGGGGTTGGAACTGGATGAGCTTTAAGGTCCCTTCCAACTCAAACCGTTCTATGATTTTATGATGATTCCATGGTCTCCGTGGGTTAAATGCACTTCTTACTTAGAAAGTTAAGATATGGTCAAGGCAGTCAGTGGAGCTCAGGATGTGATTAAACTGATTGAATCAGGTCATCATGGACTCTTTTGGTTGGATCTTTCCTGACTAGAACTGTCATCACGAGTGGCTCTGTGGCAGGCACGAATAGGGCTGACATCAGCACTTTAGACAGAAGAGCCCTCTCAGTTTGTGTAGGCACCAGGCAGTTTAGGAGCCTACGTAGCACACATGGTCAGTGGAGAAAGGAGAAGCCCTCAGCTCATATGGTGTGAGGGAGAAGGAGCAAGCTTGTTGGCAGTAAGCTCAAAGAGAGCATCCGGGAGAAGAAATATACTGTACTCTTGGACTTGAGCCTTCAGCAGGCATAGTGATCAGCGAGTGAGGAAGGGACGATTTCCACTGTTACTACTCTTTTGACTGAGTGTGTAGGACAAAGAGCATCATCTTCCCAGCAAACTGATGCAACTGCTTCCAGGACCTGGCCTGCAAGTGAGCACTGCCATTAATGTTGCATGCATCCCTCTGTTGACAACACTATGCTATTCTGCAGGCAGACCCTCCAGGCAAAGCAGCCTTTCTGCAAGGTCAGGAGAAATAGGAAACATCACTTACTTGTTGTTTGAGACCTTTTTGCCATGGGGTATCACCTCTCAAGATGAACACTGTAGGCAAAGAACAGAAGTAAACCTGTGCCTGTCAATGATGTTAGCCACTGAGTAACTTTCTTTCCTCTCTTTATTTTCCAGCTGCTGGCTGTCGTTAGAGGGAGGTCTTCTCTATGCCTTCGTGGGACCAGCGGCTGCTGTCGTTTTGGTATTTAAGCTTGGCTGAAAGCTTTCACCTTATAACACTCTCCTTGTTCTTTCAACCCAAGAATGTCCCTCTATTTCCACTCATGTTTTGAATGGATTTCTCCTTCAAGAACAGAGCAAAGTGTAGAGCCAGTAATCTGGAATGGGTTTGATTTATAATATAATAAGCCTCAGCTCTCAGTCTTCTACCTCTGTTCTCTCTGGAGCCCCCTTGACATCTGTTTAATGCTTTAAAACCCTGTTTTTTCTCTATCTGCATGGACATGCAAGATGATGGTGGAAAACTCTTGACATTAGCTCCTTCAGCATCTGCTGCTACTGGCTGCTTTCAGACCAGACTGTGCCTCCACAGCCAGCATTTATTCCTGTCTGTCTTAGAAGCTGCATGTGAGCAGCATCCTTTGTTACAGGTGAAATGGAGGTCTTCAGTACTGAGAACCTTAAAAATGTCATGTTTGCTTCTAGTTCAAAGAGATGGCATGGTTAAAATGAACATTCCTAAACTCCATCCCACTCACTCATGCATGGTGGGAGTCTGTTCTACTGTCCCCTCACCCTTGGCTCCAACACAGCAGCAAAGCCAGTTTTGGCCAGTCACTGCTTGAGTTAAAGGTGTCACTCAAGAGATGACATACCTTTCATCAAGCTTTCCCTGCTGTTGAAGCCTCACTGGCCAGGAGAACCCTTGACTTTCAGGGTTCAAAGAGCTTGAGAACTGCTGGTCCTCTAGGAAATCCCTCCTGCACCAATTTCAGATGGGTTTAATGCCACCTTTGAGTGCCCACATGTAAGTGGCAGTCTCCAGTGGCAGTCTCCAGCTGTGTTTTAGCCAGTGGAGGAGCTGTATGTCCTCTGAGGTTCAAGTGCTCTGGATTGTATTGATAGGACAAGGGGCAATGGGTTCAAACTGAAACAGGGGAAGTTCAGGTTGGAGATAAGGCAGAGGTGAGGTGGTGAGACACTGGAATAGGCTGCCCAGAGAAGTGGTAAATGCCCCGTCCCTGGCAGTGTCCAAGGCCAGGTTGAACAGAGCCTTGGGTGACATGGGCAGGGACACCTCACACTAGACCATGGGAGGGGGTTGGAACAGGATGATCTTAAATTCCTTTCTGACCCAAACCATTCTATGATTCTATGAATGGAGTTGCTGACACTTGCAATTGGATCAGGCTTTTGTTTCATGTAGGGCCTGTGGGGTTAACTGCCCGCATCAGGCTTACAGCATAATATAGACACAGAAACGTTTGCTACCTCTATTCCCACTGCTGTCATTGCACATCAAACCACCTTGGCACCATCATGTCATCGTGGTTACAAAGAGACAAGCCAGCAGTTGCCCCTCCTCTACAATAAAGGAAAGCTTATATCAGTTAGGGTATTTAGCTGAGGGCTGCAACACACTGTTGATCTTTCAGATGGCAGGTAGCAAAAAGTGGTGATAAGCAGATGTTCATGCCAGGCAGTCATTAGATCTCTGTAGGCACGTGATAGTTGGATTTCCCTCAGTAATGTAGCTGATGGGGGTCAGGGTCTTCTTTATAGAGAGGATAATTGACAGGAGCATTAAGTGGCTTAGTGCTTTCAGATGAGCTACTTCTTTGCCCCAACAACATAACAGCTCTGGCTCGGCTGCTTGAACACTCAATAGACAGCAGTGATTAGGAGGGAGGGAGCTTTGGTAACCCCAGACAAGAGCAAGTCAATCTGCTGCCTCAAGCCATCTTGCTTCTGTTGTGCCAGCAACAAGGGAAGTAATCCTTTGGCTTTCATAGCATATTTAGTGTGAGAAAAGACACATGAGCCTGCTTCTATTTGGCATCTTGGCTTTCACTCCCATCAAAGCTAGAAATGGAGATGTTGTTACAGAGAGGTCACCACCTGCAAATGATGGTTCATACAGCTGATCTTAGGAAGTGGTGAATCATCTCTGGGGGTGTTCGGCTCTTTAGTACCTAGAGAGAGCCCACACACCTTGTACCTGAGTCATTGCTGGCTGAAGTGAGAAGGGAATGCTGCCCAAGTTGGAGAAGAATAAGCACTGGAAGCCTTTTTATAAACAGGATCCTGAAAATAGATAAGCTCAATAAGTTGCTCAAATTCACATTGTGACTTTAAACAGAGCAACAAGTTGAACACACAGTTCTCAAGGGTGCTCTGTCCACACGACTGGACAGCTCCCTGTTCTCCAGGTACTCTATCCTCATTTCAGGTTGACCATGGCAGCAATGGAGGGATGCTCTGCCTGGCTCAACATAAGGACAGTCAGGTTCTTGCAGGGCTCTATAAGGGACATGTTTGCTCCAGAAACGATACAGCTGCTGCTGTGCAGGGATGCACACATCAAGGTGGGACTTGACTCTGTGCCTGAGCTCCTTCTCACCCAAACCTCCTATGAATATGATCTATAGATGAGTGAATGACTTTGCACACAGCTGACTTGGCTACAGGTAGGCCTGTTACCTCTGCCTTAGCCCTGCTTGGCCAAACTAGACTTGTGCTCTCTCCTCCCAAGCCATCCAAGCATCTCTCTACTGCAGTTCTCCTACCAATACGATTTTTCTGTTACCTGTAGTAACCTTCTTCCTCCAACCCTCACTTATTAATCTCCACACTGGAAAAAAGCTTTTTGCTTGGAGAATATCTTTACCAAAAATAATATTCTTGAGATGTCTCTAATTTCAGCAATATTTGCAGCTTGCGGTCAGTTCACTAACACAGAATGGCTGCAAAGGTTTGAGCTTTAGTCTTGAAAGTCCTGACAACTTTAAATGCAGAGCTGTTGCAAGCAGTTTTACCCACCTAGCTCCTGTGGATCAGCCTGGTGATAATTCTGTGCAGGTTGAAGGCAATGGATTACTGCAGGGAGAGGCTCATGGCATGATGAAGTCAAGACAGAGAGTCATCAGTCATCGGGTGCTGCTTATCTCAAAGGCTGAATCTCAGACTTATGTCTTTGCTTCCAGATAGCATCTCTGAGACAAGGAACTAAAGATACGCTTCATGTTATTAAGAGTAGCTGTGTATAGAAGCATGTTGATGCTTATACCCCTGACTTTGTAAAGAAAAGGAGCCAGGATCAGATGAGGATGTTGATCATGATGATCAATGGACTGGATGAAATAGCTTTTATTTATTGTAACAAGTGCAGAGCTGCACTTTGTCATCTCTCCTGCAATACATGAATGAGAATACACACTGTGTTGTGGCCAGCTCCAGGAGTGATCCAGCCTGCCATGCTTCCACCCCATCTTTCCTATTGCCTTGCTGCACCTCTCTTGCACTCACCAGTCTCCAGTACATTGAAGAAGGACAAGTGACTTGAAAGTGCTCATTCTCTCTCCAAGCAGAGTTAGGGTTTGATGCTAGGATTTGATGTCCTGCTGATCCTTGGCTGAGTTACTACATCTGATGTGCCAGTGTTGTTCCTCTAAAACAATACCATGGTGAGCTCTAGAAAGGGATTCGCAGCTGGGGGAAATAGTCCACTGCCCCACCAGCTGATGCAAGAGAAAAGAGCTGCTATTTGTGAGATCTGCCATTTGTTCCCAGCTGTGGACTCCACACCAGTGAGCTGGGTCATGTCTTGCTGAAACCAGCAATCCAGACTCGGAGAGACTGGTCATTCTTGAGGAACTGCTGGAGCAAGTCCAGGGGAGGCCATGAGGATGCTCAGAGGCTGGAGCACCTCCTGTATGGAGACAGGCTGAGGACATTGGGGCTGTTCAGCCTGGAGAAGAGAAGCTGTGTGGAGACCTCAGAGCAGCTTCCAGTGTCTGAAGGGGGCCTATAGGGATGCTGGAGAGGGACTCTTCATTAGGGACTTTAGTGATAGGACAAAGGGTGATGGGTTCAAACTGAAACAGGGGAAGTTCAGGTTGGATATAAGGAAGAAGTTCTTTACTGTGAGGGTGGTGAGACACTGGAACAGGCTGCCCAAAGAAGTGATGAATGCTCCATCCCTGTCAGTGTTCAAGGCCAGGTTGGACAGAGCCTTGGGTCCCATGGTCTAGTGTGAGGTGTTGGAACAGGATGATCTTCAGGTCCTTTCCAACCCAAACCATTTATGATTATTTAGGCAATTAGATGGAGGCTTTGTGTGAGCAGACATCTCCCTTCCTTTGTGCTAGGTGTTGTACTGGGTGTCTCCTAGGACTACTAGGGTCTATTAAACTCACCAAGGCTTTCAGCTAACATGTAATGCCCCACATCTCTGAATCTGGCCTTAAACTTTTCCTTGCAAGCCCCACATGCAGAAGAACATCTCACACATCGTTCTGCCAACAGCAGATGTTTCACTGACAGCAGAACCAGGAGAGTGTCACTCTTTTCCACCATCACAACTGCACCTCCATGAAGAGGGAGGTGCTCATTTGTCACCAATGAGCTTGCATACAGAGGTTGCTGAGGTTTGGATGAGGTTTGTATAACAGATGCAGCTGGCAGCAGTGAATACTGTCAGAGCAAGGGGTTTAGGATCACTTTGTAAGACCTCAGCTCTGTACAGCCTGTATTTCACCATGAATATTTATAGCTGGTTGATACAGACATCCAATGCTCTCACCGTAACAAAGCAGACCAAAGGACTGCATGCAGTTTTCCTGCCCACTGATTTATTTTGACAATGACTAGATGGTTGATTTGTGTGCTGTGCAGTATTTCCCAAGACATTCCACCATAGTAACTGGTGGTTCTACTTGCTCTAGTGCTCCTCCACCTCTTTGTTTTGAGAGCAGTGGTGCTGGTTCCCCAAGCTATGACAAGCACTGCCCCATTCCCTTAATGCTGCTGCTTTGGTAGCACAGACTCCAGAAGGCACATTTGAAAGTAACCAGTGTCAACCCACTGCTCTCCCCTGTATTGACCACTTTCTGTTTGTATTACCCAGCAAAACTGTTCTTGCACCTGGAATTTGCCTTGTTGGACCTGAATTGGGCTTCAAACAGCCCTGCAGCAATCTCTGCACTTCACAGTCTTGCCCTGCTTCATGGAAACCTCTTCAATCTGCTGCCAGCTGCATTCTGCTCTCCTGAACTCACTGATGCATGGCCAGGGGAGGTGGGACAGGGTGGCAATGGGACAGAAGGGGAGGTGGCCTGTGGAAGTGTGTCCTTAGGGAGAAATGGGAAGGACTTACGTTGCCAAATGTTGGGTTTTTCCTTCTGTGCTCGCAAGTTTGACCTACTTGAGAACAAAATTGTGTGTTGTTTCTCTTTCGGCAGGTGAACATGGTTATTGGCATTCTGGTTTTTAACAAACTTGTATCCAAAGATGGAATAACAGATAAGAAACTGAAGGAACGGGCAGGGTATGCCTTATCAATACATCTACGTAAAGAATGAAATGACAAGACACCCCCACCCAAGGTTGTGATCAATAACCAGGCAAAGGATGCAAAGAGAGATTGGAGATGCAAACACAAAGCAAAAGCAGATTTCAATGAAAGAAACAAGCAACACATTTGGTTTAATCTCTGCCTTGTGATCTGGTGCAGCAGAGACAAAAGCTCCAAGAAGCAGCACTGAGTTGCTATGGAGGAAGGGTAGAAGTTTATCTCTTTGTTAAAATGGCTTCAGCCCGGGCTGATGAATCCTTTCAAAGATTAGAGAAAGCAAAGTGACTCTTCTCTCTCTCTCCTTGAGACAGCAGCTGGATCAGAGAGGGACTCAGTCATTGCTAAGTGTGGAATGTGGTATGGGCTGTGTGACAGAGAAGTCCTGTTTAATGCTGGCAGAGAAACAGCAAAGGTTTGTGATGCATGTATGGAAAGAGTCTTTGGAGGTCTAGCAGTGGACAGCTTAGCAGATGGATGAGTGTGTAAAGAGGAGGACTTAAAGAAACCTCTTCTGCAAGAAAAGATTCTGATGCCACCTGAGGTTCTTTATCTTCTCTTCTACGATTCTGTGATTCCACAGCCATCGCCCCAGCCTCCATCCCTGAGGCCTGGGCCTGTGTTACCTGTTTTTTTTTGTTGTATAAACTGAAGAGCTGACTCCACAGTTCTTACCACCCTGGTCTCACTAGGGGTTGACTGGCAGCAGCTACCATGCAGAGCTCTCTGCTGGGTTACTTCTGTCATTAGTTCCAGCAGGATGAGACCCCGCTTCACCTTTGTTTCTGGAAACAAGTCTGTAGCCTGCTCAGACTTTACCCCTGAGCTATTCCAAATGGCATGCTGACACTGTGAGTCAAATCAAAAGCACAGGTCAGCCTGGCTGCTGCTGTTAGTGTGTTATTTTCCACTGCCTCACTTGGCTTGCTGTTGCAGTCAGAGAATTTATCTCCTTAACTGCTGCTAGAGGGTTGCGTGCTCTTATTTGTCCATTGATGGAATTTGATTTATCACTGCGGATGACAATTGTATCCTTGAATCATAAAATGCTAGGTTAGAACTGACCTCAAGGATCGTCTGGTCCAACCTTTCTTGGCAAACCATGACCTAGACTGGATGCCCCAGCAGCCTGTCCAGCTGAATCTCAAGTGTCCAGCCTTGAGAGAAGTTGTTTACAAAGAGACAAGGAGAGCAAGAGGTGTTCTGATGCTTCTGCATCACAGCTACAGACAGAGCCTAAAACCTTAGGAGGCTGGTGGAGAAGATAAAGGTTACATCCCATCTGTGAAAGTGGAGGGTGAATGGGTACCTGTTGCCTTGTTTGCTGCAGCTGTAGGCTTCACAGAGAGGATAAGCTGCTTTATTCACTGTGGTGCTGGCAAAAGCCTTTAGCTCTAAAACTTCAGTCTCAGACGGTATAGGCATAAAGTACAGACAAGGTTCTATAATCACGTCATTGCACTGTTGGATAGTTCAGGTGGAAGTGGTTTTTAATTGAGTGATGGCAGCAAAACTGAGGGTAGAAGCAAGCTCTTACCCAGCCAGGGGAGAAACACAGGGACATGTTAAAGTTCATAACAGCCTTCCAGTATCTGAACAGGGTTTATAAGGATGCTGAAGAGGGATTCTTCATCAGGGACTGTAGTGATAGGGCAGGGGGTGATGGGTTCAAACTGAAACAGGGGAAGTTCAGGTTGGAGGTAAGGAAGAAGTTCTTTACTGTGAGGGTGGTGAGGCACTGGCAAAGGGTGCCCAGAGAAGTTGTGAATGCTTCATTCCTTGCAGTGTTCAAGGCTAGGTTAGACAGCATTGGGTGACACGATCTAGTGTGAGAAGTCCCTGCCCATGGCAGGGCAGTTGGAACTGGGTGGTCTTAAGGTCCTTTCCAACCCAAACCATTCTATGATTCTATGTTTTATCAGCAGAGTTGACACGGCCAAGCAGCAATGTCCCTTGGTGCAGCAAAGAGGGGAATCTCAATGCCTTAGCAGTGTCATGGTTATGATAGTAAGAGGAGACTTAAGCACATTTGGATGATGAGGTATCAGTTGCTGTTGGGTGTAAAGGCACACAAAGAAGTTACCTTTGGTGCATTGCTTAAAGCAGCTGCTAATAAGAAAGTGTTTGGTTCTGGATGATGCCTTCTTTACAAAGAGAGAACTTGAGAACATACCCAAGCTGCTGGCAGAGTCTGTAGCAAGATAATTGCACTTGTAAGTAGAACTGAAATAGATGGTATATTGGAGTAGCAGAGCAGTGCGTTACTGTCTCTCAGTCTCTCCCTCTCTAATCTAAACTGCATACAGCCTGACCTTATTCAATCCAGACCACTGGTTATTGATCACATTCATAGTTCTACTCTGAAAATGAAACCTACAAAGCAAAAGCAAAAGAAAAAGTTATTTTTCTGATGATCTTTGTTTTTTTTTTCTTTCTTTTCTCTTTTTCCCCCCTTTCGTGTCCGTGTGTGTGTGTGCAGCACTTTTAAGCCTTCTCTGTGCTCAATGATTTTGTTCTCCTATCGAAGTGCCACCTGCTGAGAGTGCGGAAGCACTTTTGAGTGTTCTGGTGCCCCTTTCCCTTTAGCTAGCCGCTTCTGGCTTGGGCTTGGGAACCGTGTTGGAAGGGAGATCTGAAGATAATCAGAATGATGTTTGGATCTGAGGAGATGAGATAAAGAAATGTTGTGTTTCCTTTTGCAGAGGCAAGAAGTATGGTTCAGTGTTGCAAAAGCAAAAAATAAAAGGGGGGAAAGAACCCCGAAAAGGGGTAACAAAAGACCTATTAAACACTAAGGAAAACCCAGTACACATAATGCAGCTTGGTTGGTGCAAACAGTGCTAACAGTTCCCATGAAATAATATCTCAGACACAATAGGTTTTGCCCTATACTTAGCAGAGGAAATTGCTGTGATTACCATTGTCATAGCTGTCAGAAAACTTTGTATTTCCAGTGCCAATGACTTTATAGATATAGCACAAAACCAGGCTGTAGAGAACTGTGATTACCTGGAGAGCTGTGCACAACCGCCCCAGCTCCTTCTTGGGACACAGCAAGTGTCTCCCAGCAGAACAGTCTCTATTCAAGTTCCATTGCACTGACCATGTTTGAGCTCTGTTGGCAGGAGGGCTACTAATACCAAATGTTTTAATGTCAGAAGCAGGAGCCTTTAAAATGAATGTTAAATCTATTCAGCCAGTGTTTATTCCAGAAGCATTTGTGTGCTCATGCAGCCAGGGAAGAAGAATGAGACTATAGGGTATATTCTCAAAGGCTAATTTTAGCCTGCTGAGTTTAATCTCCATAGGCTTCCTCTGTAACTACTAGAGAGGTGGGAGTCTTGTTTAGTTGTTCCAGCTTGCCCCTTAGAAGACCTTTCCTTCTTTTATCTCTCCATTGATTATAGAGAGGACTTGAGAAAGTTTGCCCCAAGACCTTGTGTAAAATACTCTCTGTGTGACTGTCCTGGCAGAGTGTAATGAAGCTGGATTGTCAGTGCATAGAGAAGAAAGTAATTGGAAAGATAATAACTCCATTAAAATAGGAACAGATTCAGATTGCCTTTCATCTCAGAATGTTCCATGTTTGAAGCAGCTCCTGTTCTTTGGGCCATGAGTGGTGTAAAGCATGATTGAACTAAAGGTAGCAAAGTCCAGGCTTGAGTGAACACACCAGATGAGTCCGTGAGCTGGTTGTGGATATTTAGGAAGCAGAAAAAGCCAAATGAAATGAATACATTATTCGCTGTGATTATTTCATTAGCTTCCCTTTCATACATGCAGGCACCAATAAAAACCTGCTATGGAAATTCAATCTATTAACGACCTCATGCCCAACAATAACACATTAGAGTATAAATGTATCCACATCTGTGCCTACTGCTTACAACCTTCTGCATAAATACACCCAACAGCAGCTACAGTTGTGTGTTGCAGTGGTCTTTTGGCCAGCTCTTTGTGATTCAGTGTCATTCATGTTTTTTCTGGTATAGTTTTCCATCAAATTCCTCAAGTCAATCTGCTTTCTTTTTGCTGCCTATCTCTGCCTCTCTCTGTCTCTCTGCTTATCTGTTCTTTGTGGCCTATAGATCTGGGGATAAGCTGTCTTTTTCTAAGGGTCATGCACTTAATGCCTCTCAAGACCTACTTTATCTTTGGTTCAGCCAGTGTCCTCACTGGATTTACACCATCCTTCCTGGAAAATATGTATCTATGGACACAGGAACTAATTTTCCCTGTATTTGAAGGCTGAAAGTTTCTGTGGGATACCTTGGCCATTATTCTGTAAGGGAGTAATGGTTTATGTCACTGTAAAAGACCAATCAATAGCCACTTTGAAGTGGGCCACTGGGACCTCTGATAACACTGTGTTGGTGTTCATAGGGATGTTCTTTTTGCAGTGAGACTGAACACCAAGCCCTAAAAGTTAAGAAATGATCTGTCAAGTTTCCTAATCTCTCTCCCTGGCAGGGTAGGGCTGTAAATCCCCCCTCGGATGTTTGGTACCTGCAAACATCACCCCTTACCAGCCGCATTGCCATCAATCAAGAGCGACAGACCTCCTGTCCTTGGGCAGTGATGTTCATGCCTGTTATTAGGCACTTCTTGTAGGTCTGTAGGATGTTTTACAGATTACAGCCCATTTTCTAAGCCAGATCTGATGTAGATGTCTATCTCTGCACACAAACTAATAAATTCTGGGAAGAAACAGGGCCAGTGCCAAGCTAATGTGGCTTCTGGGCTTCTGAGTAAGAGCTGGCTTATCAGTTAGGTGGGTTCACACACATCAGCTTCTAAGAGTTATGAAGATATGCCTTTTAGCAGATCCCTGCAACCCACATGGGGATGGTTCTGTGGTTGATCCCATCCAGAAAAAGTGGAAACAACTGATGTAAGTCTCAAGGTTCATCATCCCAAAGATGTTTTCAGCTCCAAAGCATGATGTGAGAGAAGAAACATCCTGAAAGTAGCCAGCCCGTCTGGTTCCCTTCAGGGCAGGTTAGTGGTCTTACAAGCACCCAAGCTTTTGTTTAGCTTCCAGGACATAACCAGTGCCATTTGCATGTCCTTCATCACCGATTAAGCAAACATAGAGTGACCTATCTCCTGGTATTGTCAGGTGCCCTGTGGGTATTCCCATGCAAGGGCCAGGAAGAGAATATGTGACTTATTCCTTGTATTGTTTTAGGGAAGAAGATAAGCAGGCACAGTCCCCACAGCCCTACTTCTTGCCTTCTACTGTACAACCCTGCCACCTTTTTTGTTTTTGAGCAAAAAGGCCAGAAGGAAAAAGAGCAATTATTCAAAATCAAAGCAAAATAAAGAGGTGGAGACTGGGAGAGCAGTACTGGCTTCTCTTCCATGGGTGCCAGAGAGAGACACCCTGAATCTGGCCAAACGTTCACCAACACAGTTCCATGCTCTCCAGCGGCACCAACATGTCTCTGAATTGTACATTTTTCCCATTCCCCACATCTGGAGTGGTACAGATGAGAGAGTTTTATTCCTGCCTGTCTTTCATTTCTCTTTCCAAACTGGGTATGGTTGGTTGGTTCCCTTTCTTCTTTCTTCTTTCCTTTTCGTTGTTTCTTTTGGCTTCTCTATCCCTTTCCTTTCAACGTTTGTGTTCATAAGCAAAGTGTTTTGTTTTGTTTCAGTCTTTTGGTTTTAATTGCAGTCAGATGGCAGTGCCCCTTTACGGCATGACGCTCAAATGTTCCAAGTGTGGAGTAGTTTCTTCTGCTGAAGTTTCGGCCACAGCCACCAGTAACGCCATGTTAGTTCCTCTAATTTCAACTTCTTTTCTTTCTTTCTTTCCACTTTCTTTTTATTTGTTCCTTTTTTGATTGATTTTATTTCCCTCTTTCATTTCCCTGCACTCACCAGCCCTTGTTTGTTTTGTCTCCCCATATCCCTGCCCACCTCCCCACATCCCTGACACTCCCTGACCTCATTCTGTGGGCCATAAGTAGTGTAGGGCTCCCCTGAAGCAAAAGCTGATGGGCTGGATCCTGACAAGCACTTTATGACATGCCTGGATTGGAGCATGTGAGCAGCCCATGGAAGACAAAGGGACTCTTTGTTAGAAGCTGGGTATATGTTTAATACTCCAATTTAATTTAGTCTTGGAGTTACAGATTTAAAGATGTGGTTCCCATTAATTTTGATGGTAGACGGAGGCCTCGACATCCAGCTTTGTCAAACACTTAAGTGTGTGCTTGAGTTTCTTACTCCCGAGGCTGCAGAGCAGGGTATGATTTAAGTGAATTGGTGAATCACTTCCAAGTAGGGATTTTTTTGTCTTATAAAGGCTGAAGTTGAGTTTAATTCCTCACAGGGCTGCAGTTCTGATTTGATAAGTGTTGACTGCCTCTTTTGGACCAATAAAAGCACTTGGAATTAGTCCTCAAAATCTTCCAAGTATTTCATAGTTACAGAAGTCAAATGCTGTTAAATCTCTTCTTAGATGCTGCTGGATTTAGTTAAAAACACCCCAAACTAAGGATGAAAATGCCAGAGCTCTGTTCTGCTGGAGAAATTGTTGCTATTTATATAGTTGGCTTTTCCCCAAAGGTTAAGGTAGGAGGGAGAGAGATGAAGGAAGGTTTGCCTTTTTATTTCCCCTTTTGGAAATGTTATTATCTACATCATTTCCAAGTGATGCTAAAATGTGTGAAAGAAACAGTCTCAGAGCTAGACATTTGCAATCTGAAAACTCCTACCTTCAATTAAGCTAAACAAAACCAGGCAGCTGAATGCCAAATCGCAGTATTAAAGAAAATCAAAACACAAGGTTTTCTTCTTTGTTATTTCTATAAACTGAGCCACTTACATAAAATCCAAGAGAATTTAAGGAAAAATGTACAATTCTGAAAAACAACCAATTGTTCTTAGAAAAAAAGGGCATGAATCACCTCTATTAGGAGCCAGAAGTTTCTATAGAATGCAAAACCTAAGCACAATCTCATTTATTTCCACTGTTGAAGTTGTTTACTTACCTCTGCAACCGTACCCAGCTGAGGTAGTGAGAAAACATTGCTCCAGACACACGTACCACCAGTCTGGAGTTAGTAGGTTGCTGCATTTCAGTTTCCTGTGACTGCAGAGGAATGCTAAACCAGCAGAATATTTAATTAACAGATTAGAGGGTTAAATAGGAGAGGATTTCTGTTCATAATGAATTAATTTTAAAAACAAAGCAGTCTCAAATCCTTCTCCCATATTGTCTGACACTGATCTGTCATGAATCACCTGTTCTGATTCATTTTCAAACCAGAAAAGAAGGGATATGAAATCCAGATCTACTTATCCTGCTTTTCTAATTTAAGTGGTTTGATGATAGAATTGGAGGGCTCTTGTAAGAGGATCTGTCTTTTGTTTCCCAGCAGATAGAATACCTTAGATATCAAATACCTGTACTGGTTTTGTTATTGGTCCAGAAGTGTCCTATGCTCTTGTCCTTGCAAAGGGACCACTGAGTAATACATGAATTAGTTCACTCAGCCCTCATCTACCCTTGTCTACTCATTCTGCAGCTGAACAGTTTCTGGTTTTCTTCCTCCAAATCTATCGTAAATGAGGTTATCAATAAGGCAAAGCCCTGACTGTGTTTCATGCCACTGCCACCGTTCTGCTGGCCTTCATCCCAGACCTTGAAACAGCTTTACCATTCAGTTTTGAGTCTTATAATCAGATGCCATGAGGATTCCTTGTTCCTCCCTGACCTGGAATTAGCCATAGTTGTTTGGTATAGAGCACAGCAAAGATATTCCTTCCTTGTTTTGCTTGGGTTGCTCATGCTGTCACCAGCTCAACTCCCACAGGTTTTGGAGGCTTGTTTTGGGGATATTGGTTTCTTGGCATAAAGGGATAGATGTTTTTGTCCATTTTTCTCAGCTTTTGGAAATCATAGCAGTTTTTGAGCAACTCTGTGGTAATTTCTGTATTTAAGAGAGAAGGGGTCAGAAAAGGGGATGTGTAGCTGAAGGAGAACGTGATAAACCACTGATGGGAGAGCAGGGTGTAATCATGACAGAAATGAACAAATATGTACTGGAAATTGTGCAAGGTTTTGACTTGGAAAATGATAAAAAGGAAAGCTTTAGATGTATATGATCTTTGAAGGTTTATGTTAAGGGTTAGCTAGACTTGATAGGTATGGGTTAAAAACAGTCTTCCCTTTAAGCTGTTCTGGAGACAACACTAGATATCTTTTGCAATTGGAAGACTTCTATTCCCACATTTCCTTCTTTTTATTGCTGCCTGTAGGGTAGCCTCAGACTGTGAAATACTGAATTATAATTAATTTGTCTTTGCTACCTGTGAAAAGTTTTATTTAACGCAGGGAAAAAATATCTCAGGGGCATCCCATTTCTTTGCACTTACTGCAAATGAGGACATCCACTGTTGATACCAGGGACTGCAGATGGAGAGGTGAATGGGTGGATGGATGGATGGATGGATGGATGGATGGATGGATGGATGGATGGAATTCCTGCCAGGCAGTGCATTGCAAATACGGACTTTCAAGTTCTGACCATAGAGAAAAGACTGGCCCAAGACTAAGGCCCTGGCACTATATATTCTTCTTTTACACAACTCATCTCCGAGTTAACGTCAAGGAGTCCTCATGCCTCTTTTCATGTTGAATCCCTCTTTCATCATCAGAGCTCATGTCAGATCACCCATCTAAAGGTTTTACTCTTTTTCTTGGCTCAAAGTTCTATCAGGAAGTCTTAGATGTCACATTTTCAGCCCATCTTGTAGTTCCAGCACTAATGTGAATCAACATTTACATACACAGCAGGTTTTATGAAAAAGACTGTTCCTCAGGAGAGTGTTGTTCTCATAGTTCAAGGAATCTGAAATTTTATCCATACCTGGGGGTAATACTTGAGTCAGGCAGGTCCTTCACTGGATTGTCAAAGGAGAGCTCCCCTTATGAATAATGAAGCTGTCTGTCCCTGCCAAATTCTTCGCCTGCTTGTCTGACTTAGGAGCATTTGATTTCCTGCTCACCTATTTGTATGGTTCAGACTGTGGCAACTGAGAGAAGAATCATCTTTTGGAGAAAATCAAAATCATATCTTGTGTTTCTGGGTTGCCCGTGCAAGGGAAGAACATGCACAGTGCCCCCTCTTTTCTAGTTACCGATTTCCTATACCATTGTATGGGCATAGAGTTAAAGGGAGTTGCTCTGAAACTGTCCCTAAAATTGGGTCAGTGGTCTTGCTTTTAGAAGGAATACAAGTTAGAGAAGTGATAAAGCATGAGAGAATGAATAAAGTAAATGCTTGTACTGTGGTTTTCCTGTAGGAGAACTGCTGTGGTGCAGGAATAGCGCAACCAGCAGAATAGCACATACCACTCCATGCAGCATGTAAGGAGCCATCCATTGCCTTATGTGTTGAGTCCAGCTACCACCTCCCTCTTCAGAGCTCCTCTCCAGAAGCTGCTTTCTGAATATTAAAGTTATTTTTCCTTCTGCTGCTTTTTTAGCTTATGGTAATGGCTGCCCTGTCAGTGTTGAGTACTGAGAAGAATTGATTGCTTACTTCTTTATAATGACCCTTTACATCTTTGTTGGCATGTATTATGTGTCTCCTGCACTTGCCCTTTGTCAGGGTGCAGGCCTCTTAATCTTTCTCCATGCAGATCTATGTTTCCAAACCCATTTTTTTTTGCTCTTTCCATTGCTATCCTCTAAGTGCCATCACTTTATCACTCTTCTTTTGCAAAGATGAACACTTAAGACTGCCAACTAACTAAAGAACAAGACCAGAGATAGTTCTTGACATTTTGACCAAATACTATAGTCTGCTTGTTGCCAGAGCTGGGTCTGCTGTGTGCTTCAAAGTAAGACCCTTCCTCTGCAATGCAACAATAGTGTGGTGTGGTGGGGAGGAACAATGTGACACTACAACTGTACTGCTGAGTAACATTGCCACGTCATGGTCATCACGCAATAAACCAGCATCACACTTCCACAATGCAGTGTAATGATCCTCCCTTGATAGCGCTGTCACTCATCATGAGTACGGTCATGTATGGGACATGGAAGGGGATCTGCCATCTAATTCCTTTGTCTCAAGCAATAAACACCATGGATTCATTGGTCATATATAATCCATAATAGTCATTGGGTAATCATAAAGTCATCATATAACAAATCTTCATTTCATTCCACATCATGTGGCACTAAGCCATAAAGTTTCTTAGGTCCCACAAGTTATTCTGGAACCTTCTAAGGATGCACAGTACCTCCTAAGAAAGGCACAGATGGAAGGTTGGCAGGAGTATGAGTTCTGCTATGAATTCAGCTCACAGCAAGTAGAATTAAGGGCAATGTCACAGGAAACCCACTTATCTTCCGCTGAGTTTTCTTCTGAAATTTGTCTTGATACAATTTCTTTTTTTAAATGGAACTTCGAATTTAATATTTCAAAAGTTAAGCAGAGCTCTGCAAGTAAAATTAGAGTAAGTTACAACCCTATGACCTGTTGCCATCTGCTGCCTGAGAATAAAGATTATGCACTAAATGTCAAGCAACATTTCCATAACGTTTGTAAGGGATGAATATTGTTGAGAAGGCATCTGCAAGGTGAATCACAAAGAGGGCAGAAAGGCCGTACTTTTAGCCAATGTAAGTCAGCATGACTCAGTTGGGAAAGTTTCTCCAGCTGAGTACATAGGGTGATACTGTCTTCATCATCTGAGTTGAAAGGCGTAGAGATTTAAGTGATGATTTAAAGTTGCTTATGTTGGGAGCAACAGTGAAGTCCATCAGGACATCTCGACTCAGAAAAAAGCTGAATAGTTTGCCTGTATGGAAGCCATTGAAAATTTCAGAACAAAAGGCTGGGAAGGACTCACTGAGTCCAGTGTGAAGACAGCAGGAGCTCTGAAGGGCGCCCATTGTCATGGATCATTGTATCTGTGCTCTGGACAGAAGATAAACTTAAGTCTATCTTCTGCCTTGTTAAAGCAGGTGTGTGAATATAGGGTTTTTTAAGCAGATTTTAAAGCCAATGGATTGAAATATAACAATTTGCTGAAGAGAAACATAATTTCCTTCCACAGCAGCATCCCTTGAAACCCCAAATCCACATCTAAATCTTGGATCCACATCTACATCATTGTCAATCTAATGTTGCAGTTCATTTAGATGGCTGGTTCAGACCTATACTTACAGGTCAGATCCATTCTCAGATGTGGCCAGGTTTCTTGTTTGCATGTTAGTGGTAGTAGCATACTCATGTGTGTGTTATTAAGAACATTCTGGAAAAACACATAATTCCAGGGAGCAGACTTGTCTGGTACAGACCTTTCTGAACACCTTCTATTGACTTTGTTGGTTCCCAGCAATCACAATTACAAGTTGTTGCTGGAACAGCTACATCTACCAAGCCATGCATCAGGCATGTTGTGTTTGCTGATACCTCCATGGAAGACACATCTATAGTGGCATGTTATGGAGCGAACCATATCTTTCCATTCAGCTTTTGTGCCTGTTTTTTCACTGCCCTTACTGCTTAGCCAGTTTTATTAATGCACCACTGCAACAGATAGCAAAGAGAGATTTCATTATAATGAAGCAGATTTCAGTGGAGAATTGGAATAAAAATGTGTGTTTAGGGGTTGTTTGGTTGCTGCTTTTATTTAACAGTACTTTGAAATTATAGTTCATATTGGACATGAAAGAACACACATTTTGTCCTCCTGTGTAAAATTCCAAGGTATCGGCTTATATCATGGCCTTTACTTTACATGGAAGTATCATAATTCTTGTTTTAATTGGGAATAAGAAGTATTTTCCATTTCCCTCTTCCCCTAAGTATATTAAATTGTTTAATATCACTAGGAAACACATCTTAGTCTGGACAGGTTGTATCAAAATATCATTATGACTATGGAAATAACCTGTCGCTTTAGTATATGGTCATTGCAGCAGAACTGATGTAACAGTCCTTGAAAAACTCGTAAGTGAAGCCAGGGCGTTCTATCCTGATGTCCATACCTGTGTCCAAGCTCCAGCTTTGTTCAGGTAAAACTCTCACTGAGGTCTGTGAGGGTGGTACCTGGATAACCAGCAAGTAAACATTATTAAAACCTTGAGCATATAGCAGAAAATGGTAAGCAAGTCCCAAGTAAGTACTGCAAAACATGTGTCATGATATCTGTCCTGTAATTTCTTGTGTTGCCTGTATTCTTTTGTTAGCATATAGGATGAGGTTTTCTATGCAGGAAGCTCAACTTGTTATTCAGCCTGTTCATAGTTCTACTCCAATTTAACAGATAAAAGCCCACAGAGAAATTCTCCTGGTGCTCTTGGTTCACCGGTGCTGCCATATATATAGGATGATTGACAGTTTAAAGTCTCCCTGTTAGGCTGTTAATATTGCCTGGGACCCTTTTTGATTCAGAGAGATGAATGAATAAATAGTCCATGGGAACAGAGCTGCTTTCCTATTTCTTAGAACCATCATTCATAAAGTGGAGGTTCATAGGGCACTACTTGGATTACAGAAACGGGTTTGTCCAGTTTTCTGTCTTGTGAACTAAAAAGTGGCCTGAATCTTAAGTTTTATTAACCCAGAATGTTCACCCAAGCATAGACTTACTTACAAGTTGCTGCATATAGAAACTTCTATTTTTATTCAAGAGATCAAGGAAAATTTCTGTTCACAGAGAAATTGGGTCAGATATCAGTTCTGATGTTCGTTGATGTAATGTTGTAGGGGACCATCTGCTATAGAGTAAGTGAGCAACGGCAGAACATCAGTCTCCACATCAGCTCTATGCTTGTCCGTTTTAGTCACTTGAAACTGTGACACACGTTCCTAGTCTTGGTGTCTTCCATGTGCTGTGGAAGTCCAACTGTCTGTAACCCAAGTACCAACAGCCATCGTGACAAACCAGTCTCTGCTGCAACTGTTCCCCTTCCCTTTGGCAACCTGAAGTGATTGTATTTTGTCTCCCCTCCTTGGGAAATGTCATCCTTGTGGACTAGTGACATAGAATGGGAAGGGTGTGAAAGGGGGAGTGAGGTATCTGCATCCTTCCTCCCCACCTCAAGTTTTATGCATGACTGCACCATTGCAAAGTAGTCCCTCCTGTAGATACGTGTCACTTGTTTTGGTAGCCTGAGTGTGCAAAGCATCTTCCTGCTTCCCTGTGACAGGGGCTCAGAAGACATCTAGCACAAGTATACGTTGCTGAAGAAGTCTTCTGAAGCCCCATGGGATCAGGATGCTGAACGAACATCCCACATGGAAGTGGGTGAAGCTGATGTGGAGCTGAATTCTCTTTTCCTCTCCCTTGACAGGGCTTCCCTTTGGAGCTCCTGTGTGGTCCTACCACTCCTGGCTCTCACCTGGATGTCTGCAGTTCTGGCAATCACAGATCGGAGGTCAGCACTCTTCCAGATCCTTTTTGCTGTCTTTGACTCATTGGAGGGCTTCGTCATCGTTATGGTCCATTGTATCCTAAGGCGGGAGGTAAGACCAATGAGTCCGTCTCTTTTATACACACTTCCCACAGAAAAGATCTGAAAAAAGTCCAGTCAGCTTGGTAACTTCTCTAATCCTATCAAGCTTTGTCTTTGTGACCGCAAAAATGACCATGACAGTGTTGGTCAGAGGGATGACTCAATGGCTGTCATGCTGAGTGTACTGCAGAGTGGAATCTGGGGGACTTTCTTATCTCATGTGTCAGACTTTGCCTGTTTAACACCAAAATTAATGTTTCCAAAATATTTACACCCCACCTCTGAAAAAATAGAATATTAAGGAAAACAATTTGTTTCATTTCAAGAGAGACAACTTGGGCTGAGATTTATGGAAGCACTACATTGGCATTGGTGCCTCGATGTTGAAGCTAGAAAGGAAAGCTAGCAATAATCAAGCAAGGAAATTGAGTAAATTCTCTCCAGCCTCCCTATGGAGATTTAAAATGGTAAATTATATCAGGGAAGAAAGGGATGAATCTTTTATGTTTCTTTAATTCTTTTCATCCTACTGAGTGGATAGGCTATTAATAACCGAGACAGGAAGGGTGGTTTTTCTCAATATTCATTTTATCTTCTTACAGCTCCTTTAAATTAAGTAAAACAGATTAATTTCTTATGTCAGGCCAATGAAATCAATGGAATTACACCACTGGCTTGGCTGAGACTCCTTCAACTAATTGCATTATGAATATGGGCCTGCATTTGCCTCCCATTGCAGTCACTGGCATTGATTTCAGTAAAGTTTGGATCAGATATATATTACTGCTGATACAGGATCATAATCAGACATTTTAGACCCCAGTATGAGGATTTATGCAACGGCATCCACTGTAAACATATTTCAAGCTGCAAAACAGAAGACTTTTTTATTCTTGACTATATAAATCAACCTAGAAGTGACCAGCACAATGACCCAGGATACCTATAAAACCTTCGAGTTGCTCTGTTGCTGTGTGGGACACATAACACATAAATCATTTGAAAAGAATACTTGAATGTTACTGAAGTAGGATCCATGTTCTTTTGATCTACCAAAGAATCAGAATTTAATATGATTTGGTATTCCTTTCTGACTCTGACTTTTGCAAATCCACTTGTTCCTACAGGTCCAGGATGCTGTGAAGTGCCGAGTAGTAGATCGTCAGGAAGAGGGCAATGGAGACTCAGGGGGGTCATTTCAGAATGGACACGCTCAGCTAATGGTAGGGAAAACTACCACCTAGTCTGTTATTAAGGACATTTTTAAGTCAAAACTGATAAACAAAGGGCTCTGCCCATCACAGTATTTGCAATCATCATTCTTTTTAACTTTAAATCTGCACCTGAACAAACATGGCACTTAGCATAGGCTCTATAGCATAAATCCGGTTTCATTTCATTATACCATTAAGGGGCTCAAACTTACACACCAGCTTTTGCAGACATCTTTGTGAGATCCTTTCTTTCCCAAAAAATTCAAAGCCAAAATATACCTCCCAGGTCTTCCAGACCTTTTCATCCCCATCATGCTGGCTTGTCCTAGCTGGAAGTAAGAGGCAGTAGTTTAATACTGGTTTAATCACAGCATGTTGGGTCATTATTATAAAGATGCTATCTCAAAGGGATTCGTTTCTCTCAAAAGCACACTTGCTTACATTGCTTCACTGGGAATATAGTTTAAGCACTGTAAGCCTTGGTCTTGTTGTGTAAGTCCTTTGCAAGCAAACCATATAAAGTCATAAAGTATAGACTATGGGAAATCATCTTGCATCTGCTTCACTGTTTAGATAACATAAGAGACATTTGGTTTCTGAGCCTTTTGGATTAAAGACATCGGGACAATCACAACATTTGGACAAGTTCCAAAGGTGTCTAGTTAATAGACCTATATGATAACCAATGGTGTTTTTTTTCCAGTCACTCTTGCGGTAAGTTAAGTAGCTTGTGCTTGGGGACAAGGTCTTGTTTCAAACAGCACAATCTTCAAGTCAAGACACCAAGAGATATATAATTCTACCTCACCTCATAGGTGATTGCTAAAAATAGTTACCTTCATTCCTAATTTAAATGTGTAGTCTTCTCATTTTCAGACAGGCTCTTGCTATATCAATTTATGTGTAATTAGAAAGCCCCTTGCATGCCTACTACTTTCTCTCCTTCAATAATAGACATCAAAATCATACTCAATCTCAATCTTCTTTTCAATAAGTTAACATACTGAGCTTTTTTATTCTCCCTCTGTAAGACATTTGCCTTAAAATTATGTATATAACCCCTTCCATATGCCCTTCAGCCTCTCGCCATCCTTTAAACCTATGGATGCTGGATTTGTTATTCTATCGCCAAGGTTATATCCTGAAGTTTCACATTTGTGTCTCCCCATAGAACTTCTTGTTTTCATTCATTATCAACCACTTGCAAAATTCTGTGTCAGCTACATGTTTTTCAGCAGTGAGATTACATTTACATCTGCACGGTTGATGGCTGTGTTGAGTGAAGAGCTTACAATCAGTTTCTTCACACTCGGGCACAAAAACCCCTTCACAATCTAGATGTGAATGATGACTCCTCACTGACGTTTTTAGAGGGGCACAATGTTATTTTCTACTGACTGAGTTGTAAAATAACCAAAGGAATCCAAAGCTCTGCGGGATGGAGTTTTCGCTTTTACCTTTTCCAATAATCTCCAAATCTGCACAAGTGAAAAGAAGCTTAGCTGAGTAGAACTGTTCTCCACAAAATCTTGTTCACTGGTATTAAATATAAGCCTATCTTCAATTTATTTATCAGTAGAACTAATACAGGCTGTTGGTTCCATTTCTCTGGAACTCCTATCTTGAAAATGAGATTATTTTTTCCTGAGTCATCCCTTTTGCCCATTTAAACATCGGTTCAGTCTTATTTCTTTTCTATTCTTTCCAGATTTATTTGATATCCCAAATAATTTACTATGAAATTAGCATCATGAAAGTTGAGATAATTCCTCAACCAACTCTTCAAAAGTGTTCGGTCTCAAACTGCTGATATTAAAGTATTTATCCCAAGGGCATGGGGATAAACTTTATTCATACTGTTAGTATTATACTGGAATGTGTTTAATCACATCGCTACACTTACATTAAGTGTCTGAAATGACACTAGAAATAACCAGTGAACTTCTCTACTTTCTGTTAGTCTGCAGCCTTTCCATTACTCCGTGACAACTCATGGCCCACTGTGACTCAGTTTATCCAGTTCTTTGAAATGTTATCTGCTGAAAGCTTTACAAAAAGGATTAACTCCTATTGGGAGGAAAAAGGAGTTTCATTTGGCTGCACAGACCACTTGAAAATGTTACTCAGCCTTTGTGCCTCCTGGGACCATTGATTTTATACACCAAGAGCTTTAGAAACAGAGATGTGTTTCCACTTCATGTGACTTGGTGATAGAAGCCCAGTGGGTATGGAGCGCTCTCAGTGACATCTCCAGATGTTTAATGAGTGGAGGGTAATCCAGAGACTAAGTATGGGGTGATATATCCAAGGCAGATCATGCCAGGAACCTGTCCCCTGGTTTTAGAAATGTGTATAGATGTGTTCCATGGAGATACTTTAATCTGGTAGCCTAGGAATGAGCAGGATGAGCAGATGAATCCAGCTGAAAAGTGATGTTACAGCTTTACCACTGAGGTTCAAAAGCCACAGGTGGAGTGGTCTGTTTGCCATGTTTCAAAGCCCAAGCAAAACATCTCTCTTCTACTCTTCTGGCAATGGCTGTGTCTGCCTCACTTATTAAAGTGGGGTTTTGCATCTTCCAAATGGCTTTCTTTCCCCCTCCACCTCCTTTTGACCATGTCCTCTGTGTTCTCTGTCTTTCAGACCGATTTTGAGAAGGATGTGGATATGGCTTGTAGATCAGGTGAGCACATCACAGGTGAGAATCAACAAGTGACCTGGTTTGGGGATTGAACTAGGCCATATTTTATTTCCCCTTTTTGTTTTATTTGTGTATGTCTTGTGCCTTGCATGTACTTGTGTGGGCTGCCCTTACACTCAACCGTGGCAAAAAGAAAGCAACATCCCTAATTCTGCCTTATGTATTGCTTATCCTATTTCCCTGTAGCTCTCTTGGCCTTTTAACTAAGAGTAAGCCTTTCCTCCAAGGCATTATTCCTTACTTACGGCCCATGTAACATGGTGGTGGAGAAGAGTATCAAGGAAGAAGAGATTAGATCCATCTCTTCCTACTGTGACCCTTCTTTGCTTTAGCAACCCCTGCTCAAGTGGGTCACACCAACCTCAGGCAGCTCTGTGCTCAGGAAAGGTATCTTTGAGAAGGTCTGGAGTCTGGAGAGCCTTCACTATTCCACCTGCCCCCATGCACACTTCTAGTGCAGATGGAAGTTGTACATATGGAGGTGGGTCAGGTCTCTCCTCTGCCTGCACCTTTCTGCTGTGTGTGCAGTTGCACACACCCGTTTTGATGCTGACGATCTGCATGATCACCTCTCCCTAATAACTCCCTTTTCTCTTGTTCCCCTGGGGGTGTCTGTGCTGTCTGGATTCTCCTTTCTACCTGTCTGTCTATGCAGGCTTCATTGTCCCCTGGTCCTGGCATGCCTGACCTGGGCTTTTCCTTACCCCCTGTAGATATTTAGACGTTCATCTACCTTGCCAGATTTACCCCTTCTCCCAACTGAGAGAAATGCCCCTTGCTTGGCCCTTGCATATAATTCATATCTTCCAAACCAGGATCTTCTCTAGTCAAGGACTGTACATACTGTGTGTTCAGTTACCATCATTCTCTCTCTTTGTTATGATTCCTTCCTTCCCTTCCTTCCCTTCCTCCCTTCCTTCCCTTCCTTCCCTTCCTTCCCTTCCTTCCTTCCTCCCTCCCTCCCTCCCTTCCCTCCATCCCTCCCTCTTCTTTCATTGTTTCTCTGCCTTCATTCCTTCTCTTCCTTTTCCCTTTGTTTCTCTCCTCCTTTCTCTGTTTCTGTACACATTTACCTCTCCCTTTCATTTATCTTTTCATTTATCTATCATTTATTTATCCACTTCTAATGTATTTATCTATAATTCATCTCTCTGTCTATCTTGCAATCACTTATTTATCTCTGTCCTCAGCTGTCTGTCTCGCTGTACCTGTTATTTATGTGTTTCTACCTCTGTCAACATCTATCTCTGCCAGTGTATTTCTATGTATTGTCTATCACTGTCACTATCATTTATCTATCTAATATCTATCCATATCTTATTTATCTTTTCCTGTCCTCCTCTCTGCTGCACTCCCTCTCCCTATGCTTATCACAACCACAGTATATTTATCTCACTTATCCCTGTGATATCTTATTTCATGGTCCCTTTCTGTCCATTTATCTCTTTTCAGGGTCCGTCCATTTTCTCCTTCTGTTTCTCTGTCTTGCTCTCTCTAATCTCATTTCTGGCTGTCTCCCTCTTCTCATTTGTCTTCCTTTTCCCTTTCTGACACCAAAGATCTCAGTTTCATTAAAGTCATGTGTGAAAACATGCGTGTTAGACCATGTCTGATTCCAACACATGCTTTACAAAAGTATTTTCCAGCCCATTTTTTGCTGGAAAACAAGTCAGACCCTGGACTCCTGCAATAAAGGGGGCTTTCTGGACCTGCTACTGAGTTGCTGGCTCCCAAATGAAACTTCCCAGAGGACAGGAAGGATCTGATTGGCTTCTTCAGGGCTGAAGACCCTGGACCAGCAGCTTACTAACAGCCTAGGCTTCCCTTCCTTTACCAGCATACAGTTATACATTTTGATTGTTGATGTCTGCCTGAAAAGATATTCCTCCTCTGTTAAAGTGCTTTTGGTCTGTGCCAAGCTAAGTAGTTAATAATAACCCCCATTTCTGAGGCATTTCTATATGGTTCATCGTCCTATGCATTCTGCTTATTGAATAACAAAAAGCAGAAATCTGACTGTTGGTTTCTGGCCATCATTTCTCCTGGAGGCACTAGCTCTTGTGTTATGATGGATTGGAGATATACCTGATACCTCTCATAACCTCCTCACTTAGATTCACTAGTAGGATTGGGTCCATGGCTTAGTGTCGAAAGCTCACTTGCTCCATGCTTAGAGATTGCCAAGTGCAAACCTCTCCAAACCTACTTTCAGCAGCTGATATGAGTATGGAGAAGAGCCTGAACCAATAAACCTCACTGACACTCCCAAGTGAAAGGTTTGACTTTAGCAACATCTTCCCACAGTGTATGCTATGAATACACTGTAATGCTCTGATTTATCCTAGCCGGTTCTCTAGCAATGTCAAGATGACTGCGACTGCCATAGCTCCACTCAATGTTATTAGCTTTAAAAGCTTTTTGAAAGTTCTTTTATTTTACTTGGTATCCTCCTGATCCTGCTCTGTAGCCTTAAAAAGGGCTCTTCCAGCTCCCACTGATCCCAGTATGAATTGGCAGAACAGTGTGTCCTCAGTCTCATGGGATGCCTGTCATGTCCAACCGCTGTCCCAGGAGGAGCAGATGAATTTGTCAGGTTACATAGAATCATAGAATGGTTTGGGTTGGAAAGGACCTTAAGATCATTCAGTTACACCCCCCTACCATGGGCACAGACACCTCACACTAGACCATGTCACCCAAGGCTCTGTCCAACCCAGCCTTGAACACTGCTGGGGATGGAGCATTCACAACTTCCCTGGGCAACCCATTCCAGTGCCTCAGCATCCTCACAGTAAAGAATTTCTTCCTTATATCTAACCTGAACTTCCCTTGTCTAAGTTTGAAACCCAAAGGTCATTGTTGTTGGTCCATTGAGAAAAAAAATAGGTAGGTGTAAATAGGTAGAAGGACCTTTTCCTTCTGAGATGGGTGAAAGGGAAACATGCATTTATTTCTCCTTTCCTGTGCTGAAATACTGGGTAAGTAGCCTTCAGTCCTGTACCACTTTGCCCCAGCCCCACTGTCTGTGTTTTCCATCCCCTCGAGACATTAAGGTTGGTGTTAGCATCTTGTTAAAGTCTACGTTGTAGCCTGAAATCAACTGAGCAATAGATTCTTATTCCTTAGAAGAAAAGCAGATGTTTTATTGTGGACAGTGTTGTGTTGGAATGAATGTCTGTGTGTCCTTTATATACCTCCTATCTGGCATGTTCACCTCGTCCTCAGTTTAAGGTTTTCCTCTCCCATTAAGGAACGTTCATGGCACTCCTTTCTGTCCTCAATGAAAAAGGAAGAACACTAATAATTACCTCTCTCCAAGGCTTGCCATGATTACAAGAAGCTTAGCTTTGAGGAAAGCAGTTAGAAACTTACAACAAAATGTGGTATATTTTAAAGTATCGTATTATTGACAGTGAAACTGTCCAAAGGAAAAGGTCAGCCTGAAGCAGTGCAGTGCTTTAAATATTTATTTAAATACTTAAATATTAATTTAAGAAATTAATATTTAATTTAAGAAATTAATATTTACACTTTAAATCATTGGCAATACTGCATTTCAGCTACTTTCTGAATCAAAACGATTTTTGAGGTGAAAGCAACCTTTTCTTTTAGAGAATTCTATTCTTCCATAGGGTAGTAATATATACATTCTATATATACATATACTACATCTACTAAATCTATATATGTATTTGCTTTTCAAGATATTGTTATCAATATGACAATATGTGTTGGCCAACTTGGGAGTTTTGGCCATGGTTCTGTTGGAATCATGGAATCATAGAATGGTTTGGATTGGAAAGGACTTTAAGATCATCCAGTTCCCAGCCCCTGCCATGGACAGGTTCATAGAGAACATGTCAAATTGAGGAAGTTTTTTCCTCCTTAACTTTAGCTTTGCCTTCAGCAAATTCTTGGAATTAAAAAACCCCGAACCAGTATAAAACACTGTTCTGCCACCACAGCCTCCTGAGAGGGCCAAGGGAACATGCTAGCATGGTGTGACTGTGGAAGGTGTATTGGTGTGTTAACAAAAACCTAAGTGATGTGCTAAGGACACTTATCTGTCTCCCTAGTGCTGAATAAAGACATCACTGCCTGCAGGACCTCAACCATCACAGGAACACTGAAGCGTCCATCACTGCCAGATGAAGAGAAACTGAAACTCAATCACCAGAAGGGGTCATCAAACTTTAACAGTCTTCCAGCCAACGTCTCCAAGATGCATCTTCAAGGCTCCCCACACTACCTGGGGGCCATCAACCTGAATGAGTTCAGCAATCACTCTCTCACTCTGAAGAAGGACAAGAACCAGCCACCTAAATCCATCTACATCTGTGATGGGGACATCTTCAAGAAGTTGGACTCAGAACTCTCCCGGGCACAAGAGCAAACGCTGGACACCAGCTATGTCATTCTGCCTACCAACACGTCTACCTTACGGGCCAAACCACCCAAAGACGAGAGCAAATACAGCATCAATATTGACCAGATGCCCCAGACACGGCTCATTCACCTCAGCATGGCTACTGATCCAGGCTTTGTTGTCAAGAGTCCTCCACGGGAGCCTGTAACCATGACATGCAGTGAGGTTCAAGGTTCCTCCATGGTACAACAACAGCAGCAGCAGCAGCTGGCGCCACAGAACATCTCCAATGAGTCACAGATTCCCAACAGCCTGTGTGATACAGGTGACTCAGGGAACTCAGGTGTGGTGTCCAAGAGTGAGACAGTCTCCACCCTCTCCATGAGCTCCTTGGAGGTGAGCAATGGGTATTATTGTGTTGTTCTCACTCCTAATGATGCCCTGCTCTCAACACTGGCCACATCTGGTGTTTCAGGAGCAGCACCTAAGGCCAAACGCAGCCCACTATGCAATGCCAGTATTGCATTATCATGTGGGATCAGTGGCATGTGATACCATTTTGTAATGCTAAAAATCTCTCATTATTTCCATAAACATATTCCATTGCTGGATGAACTGTCTTTATCCCTACAGGCAATGCAAAGTCCAATAAAAACATTAGTTTGTCAAAACCTGGTCAATTTAATGCAAGGCCTATTGTTTACATGATCTTTTCTCCTACCTTCTGTTGCTGTTTCTCATTTTGATGAATTCAGTCATGATACAGATGAGAAAACCCTACTTACTGCAGATGTAAAATGTCCCAAAGGAATCCCCCACAATGCCCTTAATATCAGAGGTTTTTCATAAATGCAGCCTTCCCCTTCTAACCTGCAATAACTCATTACATGTATGAGCAGTTCTTCCTAGACCTTAAATCCTATGCTGAGGTTATGTCCTAGTGCATCTTGCCCTTTTTTTTTTGTGGCTGTTTTCAGTGAGTAAGTCTTGACCATTGCTGCCAAAGTTCAGTCTTAGCTGCCTAGTGATCAAAGGCCCCAGTAGATCAGTTGGCTGGTATACTGCTTCCTCTCTGCTTCCTCTCTGCTTCCCATTCTGTGAATGACCTGCAAGCTCATAACTAAGACAGAGCCTGAACTGGCCAAAATCTCATGTTCAGTCCCCATTTTTGGTAGAGATCCCTCTAAATGGATGGCATTTTCCATCAGAAAGGGCCATAGAAATACATTAAAGGTGTAGAAAGAAGGAAAAGAGAAGGTGATTCCATTTTATGTGCTGTGTGATTGATTTTGTGCCCACTCACCATCATCAACCCCTTACTAACCTTCACCCATCTCTTTTTCTTTTGACTACCCAGAGGCGGAAATCCCGGTATGCAGAGCTAGATTTTGAGGTGAGTACATCCCTTTCTGAATGTGCTTTTCAAGGGATAGGATGAGAGACAGTAATGCTACTTGCTTTTCTTTCTGCACCTTTGCAGGACTGCTGCCTTTGCCAAAGAGCTTCTTTAAGGGTTTAAAAACAGTGGGTTCAAAGAGGTTTGACGGGTGCCTAGTAAGGTTTACCCTGTGTAGCTAAATTAATGGGTAACTTATATTGCTGCATGATGAATACATGGACTAGTAGCTCCTGTGTAAACATCTGTAAATCAAGATCCTGCATTGGCTTGCCAAAGACCTGTACCTTCTCTCTCAAAATGTTCTTGGGGAGCTGATGGAGCAGTAGGTGTCTGTACCACAGACCTGTTTGGGAAACACATGTACATTGGGTTAGTGGCTTAAAATACCTTCCCTTTCATGCACAGTATGTATTGCTTAAGAGAAAAGAAGCTGGTATGTCTCCACTGTCACAACTGATTGTCATCCCTGGTGTTTCAAACCTAGTAATGAACCTCACAGAATCAGCACGGGTAGAAGTCTATATTGTACGTAGGGAGATGTCCGTGCTCACACCTGAGGTTCAGAGTGGAATGCTTTGTAAGCCAATCCTCCACAGAGGGTCTGTTTGGTCTACTGAGAGCTAGTGCAGCTATCCTGAGTCCAGTCATGACATCCTTGCAGCGAAGCTAACCTTTCCTTTTAAAGTTTCTAGCTTATTCCAAAACAGAGTCACATTACAGGCTCAGGAGGAGTTGCTTTAATGCTAGCATCACTTCAGAGCTCAGGGCTGGGAGCTTGGTCTGAAATTGAGGCAAGTCAGGTACATCTCAGCTGATATTTCAAACTGGTCCCAAAATATTTAAGCCACCTTCTTCCAATTATACAGCACTTAGTAGAACACAGGGAACATATTCAACATGCTCTTACATGCAAAGGGAAGTCCATATAGAAACTGGTTCTGCCTCTCCTTCTGGGCATAAGGAGGTAGAAGTGAAATGCAGAAGAATCAAAATACAAAGAAGAGGAAATTGTGGAATAGTCTGTGATGGAACTTCTTGTATCCAAGCTCTACATGTTTGGGTAAGCTCAAAGGAGACACACTGAGAACAGAACGGGCATGGGGTTGAGCATCAGTTAAAGAAGGCCAGCAAAGCTTCCTAGGTCTAGCTAGTACAACACTGCACAAACTCTGCAGCATAAATAGTTGGAAGTTGCAGGTTTAGGATAACCATAAAGTTAAAAAAATAGTCTTTTCTACTCTCTCCCACTATCTCATCCTGAAAATAAAGGCAGTGCTACACTGGGTCCTCAATAAACTTTGAAGGCAGTTTATTCACATCAGATTGTACCCGCAGGGAGACAGAACTAGGTTTTAATAATATATGTAAATTTGGGGGAGAGACGTGTGCTTTCAGTACAGCTGAATAGGGTTTGCTGACCTGTGGCCCTTGTGTTTGCTTCAGAAAATCATGCACACAAGGAAACGTCACCAAGACATGTTCCAAGACCTGAACAGAAAACTCCAGCATGCAGAGAAGGAGAAGGAGTCTCCAACAACGGACAGCAAGGTTAGTCAGACACTTCAGAACCATCATCTCCTAGAGCCCTCTAGTGCCAGCAGGAGCACGGTAAGAAACAGGAAAGTTTGGAGCTCTCACTGAATACTTTGCCTTGATTTTCTACCTATGATTATAGCAACAAGCACATGCACACCACAAAGGATACAGAGGGTCACAGAGGTACCGCTAGCTTATCTATAGAGTAGTCAGCAGCCCAAAATATGTTGGTCCTTATGTACTTTCATGGTGATGAGAGTCTGTATTGTCTTCTTTGTGCTTTTTCCCTGTGTTTGTATCTGCTCTTTGCATTCCCTTTCAGTGATCTATTCATCCATTCATAGCTAGGAGCCGGAAACTAGAACTGCCTTGAGGAAATCTAGGTGGAAAAGGGAGAGGGCAGAAGGAGGGGACAGCAGGAATCATATACCCCACCTACAGGGGCTAAGTTGGAGGCCAAGGCAGTGGTGATGGGCACAGCTGTTTAGGAAAGCCACAGCAATAGGATTTAAGCTGTGGTGGTGGGAGCACTTCTTGGGGAATACGTGATAATTACATGTAGCATAAGGTTGTTTGTGGAGCTGATCACCATATACATAGCTTTTCTTAACAGAAGCAAACTTCCAGGGCAAGAAGAGACTTTGAGGGAAGCAGACTGAGGGAAGAACCTTATAGCCTTTTAGAGGGGCAAAGATTTGGTACTAGAAACACATTAAGAGCCTGTGTAGTAGTTGATGTGGATAGCACAAATACAGAAGGGCGACCTGGTTGCATCTCCCCTGTGTCTCAGCCCTCATGGTCTTTTCTTTGCTGTGCTGAGCTCCGGAAATGTAGTCCCAGCAAATTCAGCTTGTGTGTGGCAAGGTGTCATTATGGGGTGCCCAGTGTTACAGAATGAGAGGGACAGTGAACCTAGCAGGCAGATTCAGATCAAAAAAGCCCATGCTGGCCCAGAATCCCCATGCAGTTTCACTGAATGTCATCTCTCTGCCTTTTCTCTATTATTTAGGTATGATACACTTGTAAAATCAAAAATGCTTAAATACCATGTAAAAGCTAATCTGTGATATGTTGGCAGGAGAGTTTTACAGACTGAGATGTTTTGAGCATTTCAGAGGTGCATCTGTGTAGAACTGAAGTTGCCAGTGTCATCATCAAAGAGCTTTGAACTGCTGGCAAGAAGCTGTGAAGGTGGCCTTTGCGTATTGACTGAATCCTTTTCAAGTTCTGATTTTCCCTTGGATGTAACCCTAAAGGGGGAGGTTGTGAAGATCAGCATTGGCAAGTCAGTAGCGGGTATTGGTTTAAAAACATCTAAAGCAGTGCAAAGAAAAATAAATAGCTTTCTTCACTCCTTTTTCTACCATTTACTGTTGAGGACCCCACTGGAAATGATGCCTCATCTTCAGCTTGCCCCAAGAAGACAGACTGAGGGTACGAGGGATTAAATTAATAACAAAAGATTCTTTCTTTCTCTTTTATGTATGTTTAGGTTGTAAAACAATGGAGTATTTCTTCTGGTGGAAGTGATAAAACTAATGTTAGAGTAAGTCTGACTTGTTTTGCCTTGAAGAGCATTGTAGACCTCTCCCAAATCCTTCCATGATGTATGAATCCAAACACATTCCTTTAGCAATCGGAAACTCTTTGCCTTGTGAGCATGAACAAGGTCATGAGAATCCTGGAATTCCCTTGAACCCTTTCACACCTAGCATCATAGAGTAGTTTACTGGGTCTAATCCATCTGTCTCCATTGCTGTATCTTTGATTTCCCTTTTAAATAAACAACCTCAAAGTCAAGCTACCACTCCTCTCTCCAGCCCTAGCAGTTTCCCAGCCTCTCCTAGCATCATGTCCCATTGTCCTTAGTCCTCCCCAGGATATGATTCTTTTCCTAATCTTATAGTACCTCTTTTCTTCAACAACAAGGTCAGAAAGGTGCTACTGAGACTTGAATTAAATGTCTGCACAGGACCAATCTCCTTTGGGAGTTCCTAGGAATAGTGCTGGTACTTTCGGGATTGGTTTGATGTACATGGTAGTCCTCTCTGTACCTCAGTGCAGTGGCCAAAACCAATTACCTTATCACACTAAACACATAGTTCCTATCAGTTGAACATTGTCAGATTTGAAGGAAGCACCTACAGAATAGGAGAAAGAAACAGATCTGTCTCTTTTAGGAAGAGGGGTTGAAAATTCAGCCATCACATGTGTTTACTGTTGAGAATTTCTCCACCTTTAGAGGTAAAACATAATTTCTAAGCCATCTTCAGGCAAGACCTCAAGGTTTGTACCGGCACACATATTGCTCCTTCTAACTACCCTGACACATTTAAACTTTGGATTACTGCAGTGTACACTTGAAAGGTAAAGAAGACTGCCCTTTACCCACTGCCCCAGAGTAGCTCCTGGCAGAGCTGGAAACATAATCAGGGACTCCTGCACGTTTGAGCTGATCAGCTTGCTTCCTTTACAAGGTCTGTTTCTGAAGGGCATTTCTGATGTGAGAATGACCTAATCCCTAGCAAAGGCAGCCTTGAACAATACCCCTTAGCTTGTTCTTATCCTGCAGACATGGAGACGGGTTTGGGGATGAATTCTGCTTTCCCTTCACTCAGCAGCTGAGGAGTCCTTCCCTGGGACCTCTTTACTCCATTGCACTGGAGGGCACAGGGTGGAAGGATACATGGCTGCTGGCCATCATACATCGATCTTCAAATCAGAACAGCTACTGCAGAGATCTGGACCCTAATTCACATCCTGCTGGGATTAAGGTGTCCCCACTGCCATCAGTTGACCTGTCATCGATTTGCTAATGAGTAATGTTACCAGGATGATATGTAAGAGGTAGGCAATTAGGAGAACCAGAATACTGCCTGGAATGCCAGCAAAGTCTGAATCTTGTCCACACTCAATGCATTCCCAGGAATGACTCTGGCACCAGTGTTTGCTGCAGTTATTTTGCTGCAAAGCAAAGCACGCTGCCAATACTGAACTAACTTGAGCTTCAAAGTACAATAATACAGAATTATCCTTTCTTGGGCAACCAACTTGGATTTTTCCTTTTTTTCCCATAAAGTCTGTTCCATGTGAAATGGACTTTCATAGAATCATAGAATGCTTTGGGTTGGAAGGAACCTTAAAGACCATCTAATTCCAACCCCCTGCCATGGGCAGGAACACCTTCCACTAGAACAGGTTGCTCAAAGCCCCATCCAACCTGGCTTTAATTTCCTTAAAGACACAAACAAGAACCCCCTTAATTTGGAACCAGAGCACATCTCAGTTATGCAAACAGCTATCCCAGTGTACGCTGTTACTGCCCATTAACCTGCTTTCTCAGCTCAGCTCCTCCTCTGCAGGAGATCATCTCTGAAGTCTTCTGGCAGATTTGCTTATGTGAAGGCTCTTTCTTATATATATATCTGAAATATAAAATGCTTCTATTGTAGATGCACTCAGATTAAACTCACGTTGTGAACGGGATCCGTGTTCAAAGCATACAGGACCACACATGCACCTCCGTTCAAGCCTAGGCCACCTCACCACTGCAGAGTAAAGAGGTCTCACTCATTTGTTGCTTTATGAACTAATACAGGATGTAGACACTATTATCCTAATAACTTTTATGAGCATCCTAATAACTCCTTAGCTGACTTTTCAATGATAAGGAATGAAGATACTAACAAACTCACATAGAATCATAGAATTAGCTAGGTTAGAAAAGACCTTGAAGATCATCAAGTCCAACCTTTACCCCAGAACTGCCAAGTCCACCACTAAACCATGTCACTAAGCAAGACCTGGTGACTGCAAGTTGAAAAGTCATTTCCTGAATGCACTAATAGCTCTCCTTGTGACCTTGCCATGAGCTATGGTAAATTGCGTCCCTTGCAGTCTTCAGATGAAGCAAGGAAGATGGGGATAATTCATGAGAAATCAGCCCTTACTCAAAAGGAAGTTGCAAAGTTTTGGGAATTTGGGACAGGTTACATCTGTCCACCTAAAGAGTCTTTAAATCTATACCAAGTATCTCAGGAACAGATGGGTTTAGTTTGTGCTACCTCCTCCCAAATGACTTGCAGTGGAGTTTGTACAGTTACACTTCCATTTTATCCCAGACCAAACTGGAAGCTGGTGTAGACCCTGAGCAGAAAACTCAGTGAGCTATGTGTGTTGAATATTTATCCCCTAGACAGCCTGTTTGCAGCCAGGAAGCACGAGAGGAACCAAAGACTTGGAGAAAACCAAGGGCAATTTGCATCAGAAAACCCCAGCCATTCACACCACATCCTCAGTGATTCAGATGAAAACTTTCTTGGTGCCTGGGATCCACCAAACCTTCATTTTTGAGATTGCATTAACTAGCAAAAGGTTTCCACCTGGGTTATAGATATCTCCTCAGAACAGCTTTAAGGCACAGTTTGCTGTCCAAAAGGATGCATAATGACGTGTTAGGTTGGTACTGACTCAGACAGCAGAATTCTGCCTTCCTAATCATTCCCATCACTTTGAGTTGCTCTTTATCTAACCAATTGCTACCAAAAAGAAATCCTATTGCTGGAAACCTCACTCTCCATTTAAAAGTCTGGCAGACTGTAGGCTCCAATACATAGTTTTTTTCCCTGCTTCCTCCTAAACGCACACAGTTCCCAGGGTCTAAATTCTTGTAGCTGAGAGCTCCTCACATTAGAGCAGGGTAAGGGCTATTTTCAAGCTGCTTTGTACCACATGGGAAGTATTTTCCTGTATTGTCAGGGTAAAGCATCTCCAACATTGCTCCTCCCTGTGGCTTAATTGCTGAAGAAATTCCAGTGCTTGGGCTGGACATCAGGAGGGTTCACATGCTCTGCAACTACATGGGATGAGCGTGGAGGTTTTGCAGGCTTTAAAGGAAACAAAGGTTTTGTTTCTCCTTGGCTTTGAAAGCAATGGAAGTGACACTCCTGCCTTCCCCTTGCAGGAGTCCTTTCATCCAGCTCCATTAGAGAACTTTGAATCACACATATGCC